CTTAATTCAAGATTTAAATCATAGCATATCTTCACGCTTTCGCAGACCACCTGTGACATTGTGGCCCCTCAGGGATCCCCAGACGACTTAGGAAGTTAAAGGTGTAAAGACTTTCTAAAGAAAAAACATCTTTTACACGATCATATTTGACTTCTTAAGTCAGCAGGAGAAGCCCTCTTGAAGAGTCACCTTCCATACCCATTGCCAGAAGTTTATCTGGCAGTTAGAGCAGTGGCGAAATGTACCAGTTCTGTGGGCGTGGCGTGGTTGTGGGGGTAATGTGACTGGGTGGGCGTGGCCAACTTTTTTTTTTTTTGCTTTTAAAACCATTTTTTCTACAACCTCTTTGGCTGAAGAGGTTGTAAAAAAATGTTTTTAAAAGCCTCTGACGATCCCAGCTGAATTGCCTGATCATCAGAGGCTTTTTTTTTCTTTTAAAAATATTTTTTCTACAACCTCTTCGGCCAAAGAGGTTGTAAAAAAAATGCTTTTAAAAGCCTCTGACGATCACGCAACTCAGCTGGGATCATCAGAGCCTTTTAAAAGCATTTTTTCTACAATCTCTTCAGCCAAAGAGGTTGTAGAAAAAATGCTTTTAAAAGCTTCTGATGATCCCAGCTGAGCTGCAGGATCATCAGAGGTTTTTTTTTTTTAAACTTTTAAAAACATTTTTTCGGCCGAAGAGGTTGTATTTTAAAAATAAAGAGGTTTATTTTAAAAATAAAAAAAAGGCCTCTGATGATTGTGTGGCTCAGCTGGGCATGTGGGGTGGGGGGGGGAGCAGGGATTTTTGCTACTGGTTCTCCAAACCACCCGCCACCATTGCTACTGGATCGGGCAATCCGGTCTGAACTTGGAACATTTCAGCCCTGAGTTAGAGGGAGCTCTGCTATGGAATAACATCCTGCCCAAGGATGTGCTCTTCACCACCGCATATTGTATTCAAGGAAGAAGGCAAAAAAATTCTCGTTAGCTCTATAGGGTGTACCAGATTAGGAAACCAATGCCATATATGTCTAAACAAACAAATAATAAATATTTCATTGGAATAGCTATAGTAATAGAACCTTGCAAATCTGAGCACGTTTTTCTCCTCCCAGATTTTATCTTCATGCCAGTTTGGGAGAGGCCTGTCTGATGTTAGTTGCCTTAATGCAGGATTTTACCAGAGTGGGATGATTCTTTATGCCATCTACATTTCTCTCATCAGTCTTTTAACTCTTAACTGAATTCATTTTAATTTAATTTAAATTAAATTTACTTCCAATTTTAATAGTTTTTTCAATTTATTTTTATCTTATAATTTGAAATTTGAAAATGGGGATGTAATGTCAGGCAGGAAGGATATCAACTCAGTCGATTATTTTGGGAAAGATGAATAGAAAGCAATGAAAAGGTTCCTGCACAAACAGAACAGAAATCTGTTCAGGAGCCTTCTCCCAACCTAGAAAAATGAACTAAATCTATTTTTATCCTGTCTTTATTCTTTTTAGAAATAACTCAAGATGATGAATGTATCTAATACAGCCGTGGTGGTAGATGGTTAGAGTGCAGTACTGCAGGCTACTTCTGCTGCCTGCCTGCTGCCTGCAATTTGGCAGTTCAATTCTCACTAGGCTCATGGTTGACTCAGCCTTCCATCCTTCCGAGGTGGGTAAAATGAGGACTCAAATTGTTGGGGGCAATATGCTGACTCTGTAAACTGCTTAGAGAGGGCTGTAAAACACTGTAAAGCGGTATATGAATTATTAAGTTGGTATATGAATTATTGAGTCTGTCATCTGCACCTCCATAATGTCTGGTTTGGCTCTGCAACCAAGCAAGACAAACACAGACTTCAACGGATAATTAGAACTGCAGAAAAAACCATTGCTACCAACCTGCCTTCCATTGAGGATCTGTATACTGCACGAATCAAAAAGAGGGCAGTGAAAATATCTAAGACCCCTCATATCCTGGATATAAATTGTTTCAACTTCTACCTTCAAAATGACACTATATGGCACTGGACACCAGAACAGTTTTTTCCCGAATGCCATCACTCTGCTTAACAACTAATTCCCACAACACTGTAAAATAATTTACTAAGAGTGTATTAATATTATTCTTCTCTTCCTATTATCTATCTCTTCCCACTTATTACTATAACCATGTTGCTTGTATCTTTCAATTTATATTGTTTTTGTTTCCTAGTACAATTTGATAGCTTTTAGTAACCATGACTATCACTAAGTGTTGTATCTTTTTATTCTCGATAAATGTATTTTATTCTCCTTATGTACACTGAGAGCATATACACTAAAGACAAATTCCTTGTATGTCCAATCACACTTGGCCAATAAAGATTCTATTCTATTCTATTCTATTCTATTCTATTCTATTCTATTCTATTCTATTCTATTCTATTCTATTCTATTCTATTCTATTCTACTCTACTCTACTCTACTCTACTCCTAATAGTCCTTCCTAGAACTCACCATCTCCCACTTTCTAATCAGGTGACGTAATCAGGAGATAGAACTGGCTTATAGAGCTATACTGGCTGTTAATGGCTCTTGTAGCACTGTTTCCCAGAAGAAAATACAGATCATTCCTATGATTTTAATAGCAAATGATGCTGTCACTGACATGTTAAGATCTACCAGATTTCCCCTAACTTTGTTAGCATTTGCTGCCACAAATTCCATCTAATTTTCCATTTCTCTTTCTCTTGAAAAATGATAAAGGGAATGGAGAGGTAGTATCCACAGAGTCTTCTCAGCGCCCCCTTTGGTGGTCTCTTGGAAAATTTCAGCATGTTTGACATTTATGCATAAAATTCATAGTGTAAGTGATGCTGGATACAGAGTACTATTCATTAAATTGAGTTACATAGTCTCATCAGTTATCCATTTATGATTCATTCATCTTGTCCAAAATATGTTAAGATTCCAGGAGTTGAGCTCAACTTTTAGCGATATATTCTTGATAATAATTTAAAATTGGTTTGCTATTGCCTTTTTCCTGAATGTGAATTAAGAGACTAGTAGGGAATGCCACAGATAATTTATACAGTGGATAGAATGTATCCATGGGATTTCCTGGTAGTCTCTTAATCCACTTCTGAAGGAACTCATCAGATCAGTGCTTGCTTCTGATTAATGCCCAAAGAAGGTAATCAGGTGTAACAGCATCTGCAATATTCTCTTTGTTTAATGATTGAGATAAAGCAATAATATATAGTGTGGATACTTTCATTTTGAACGGTTATTAGAAGATGAGGACTTTGGGTTCCTAGGGTCTCATATGGAACACCAGCCCATGATATTTCCATCATTTTAAAGAACTATTTTACTCTCCCCCCGCCCCTTTTCAGTCATGTATGATTTTTAGAAACTGCTTGGATACATCCCTGCAGTTTTTTCAGCAAGGATTTTTCAGAAATAGTTTGTCATTGTTTCCTTCTTTGGGCTGGTAGAAAGTGACTGGCCCATGGTCACCCAACTGGCTTCGTGTCCAAGGCAGGACTAGAACCCATAGTCTTCCAGGTTTCTAGTCTTATGCTTTAATGACTACACCAAACTAGATCTCTAATCTGTAATTAGCTTTATTAGATATTTTCATATTTATTTTGTTTAATATTATAAAGACAGGCAAATTTGTACCTACTTTTTGCTCTTGTCGATTTTCAAGTTCCTCTTATGGGAGATTTTCCACTTAGTAAGAGCCCAGTAATATTATTGTGCAACTCACAATAAGTTTTTCATGCACTACTTAAACATCAATACACATTGCTGAAAGAGATTTTCTGTTAAACCAAGTGGATTTGATTCCCTCTCCCATCTATAGTTAGGAACTGAATTATTTTTAAAAAACTGAAAAAGTATTTATTATATTGCTATTTACTGATACCGGTCCTTAGCCGTTTCTATTTAGGTAACAGAAATGAAGCAAAACAAATTTATTTATAACCATTTGTAATGATAATATAACGTTTGGGACTCAAACTTTAGTAGGAAGTCATCAAGCTTGGAATAACATGTAGGTCAACATTGCAACAATTAAATGGTAGTCTTCTTAATTGTGTGGCCTATAGGTTGAAATGACTCATGCCTTCAACTTTAAAAATATGTTTAGATGTAGTTCTGTATAGTTCAGGTGTTGATTGCATTAACTTCTTGCTAGCTGATCAGGTGGCAAGGATTTCAGACGGTTTTATGTGTAGAGTGATGATTAAACATAAACAACTTCTCCATGTAAGGTAGTACTGAGCCTTAACTAGACTTCCATTACTCAATATATTTTCTTTTCTTTTTTCTCCTTTCCTCCATCCCCCTTTCTGCTCTCTCCCTTTCGTTTAAATATACACATAAAATTCTGTTGTATTTAACTATTTTTTTGTTAAAATCGGCTGGATTCTTAATTCCAACAAACTCTAGCAGGGCTTCAGCAAGTATTAGATGTAATATAATTTATCATAGCCTTACATTCTTGTAGGATTTTATAGATTCTAGTACTACTTCGTCCTGTTATAGTTTTGAATTATTCATTGTAATATTTGTAGCTTTATAGGATTCTGTAATTTGAATACTCTGTAATTTTATTTTAAATGCATTTTTACTTTATTTTATTATATCAATATAACTTTATATTTTTATACCCATTTTATACCCCAGCATAATTGTCATGATGGTCTAGATTAAAATAAAGTTGATTATTTCAGTGGGTTTAAGGGCCATGCTGTGCTTTTAAAAAAAATATACTCTGAAAGTATGTAAACCTACTACATCCTGAATAAATTTCATTTTAGTTGAAAGATTTCCTTCCAAGTAGGTACTTGTAGGACTACAGCTTGTGAAATCATAGCTATACTTAAAGCTGATTCAGATCATCTTAGTAAATCAGTAAACACTTTGTTAAGGTTCCTTACACAAAGATGAAGTCTGGATTTAGCCAAGCTTGAAGTGGGCGGGCAACTAGGCGTGTAGAGCAGTTTTAAGCATTACATTCTTGAAAGAGTGTTAATGAATGTTATTCCTTGGTTTTCATTGGGCTGTCTCGCAGCAACAGACACCAGGTGAAATCTCTTGTCTGGATTCATAACAAGGTGAGAGTTCTTAAAGTACTATTACTATAATGATTATTAATTTAAAAAAAAAAACTTCACAAAATGAGCACTGGAAATTTTTCTCCCCTTTTGTTTGTGTAAGAAACATAGTGCATGTTCTGGAGCATCTATTTCTTTTTCTTTTCTTTTTTCTTTTGTTAAAGAAAAGATGCTTCTTTTTGGTAGTCTCTTGGCAAAGCAGATATAATTTATTATGTGATATCACAATTCCATCCTCACTCCATCTTACATTATTAAAAATGGATGGTTTGTAAAGTAGTAAGGCATATTAGCAATTGCATGGAGAAATCTGTGTCAGTCTCTTATCAGTATAAGCAAACAGAGACTTTTCCAAGTTTCAGTGCATCTTGCTCCCCTCTCACTTCAGTTTCAATTACAGCTTAGCCTGAGTTCTCTAATACAATTCAAAGTTCTGCTTGATTTTTTATTTTTTTATTTATATTTTTAGAGGGACAGCACAGGCATCAACCTCCTTGAGAATTTAAGATTTGCCTAAAATTTTGGGATGCTGAGTGTGTGGTTACTTTCATTACTTTATCTTTCTTTCTCCAGATTTAATAATTATATCAGAGAAAGTGATATATACAAAATATAGACTCTGGAAATTCTATACAATTTTGGAAAGAATACATTTAAAATAGAGGAGGCATATTTTACCCAAAGCAAAGAGTTTGCTTTTTGTCAGGCTATTCAAACTTGACGAGTATTCCACAAGAGAAAAATGAAACAGTGCAGGAAAATTCTCTTTGATGATATATTCTGTGGGCATCATTTTGGGATAATATGTTTCCAGGTGATGGAGTAGGGGTAGTCAATTCTTTGCAATTTTATGTGTAATTGATAACTGTAATTTTTTTGTTTTCAGAGAATCATTTTGGGAAGAAGATTTAAAGGAACAGTTTAAAAAAAAACAATGAACTTGGTCACAAGTAACATATTTGCCAAATTTGATTGAAAGAATGTTAAAAATAAGTTTTGTTATGGAAAAGGGACAAAATAGATGTGCAAACTGTAAATAGAGTAAATCTTAAAGATTTTCTGCAAGGAAAAATGTTCTATTACACTTTGTTAGCACAAACTTCATCTTTTTTCTGTATTGTGTAAAATTGTTGGAGAGTCCATACAGTTATTTATTTATTAAATTTATATGCTGCCCATCTCACTATTAACGGACACGACCACTGTAGAATTTAAGAAAATTAGTAATATTAATGTCAGTTTTCATATTTATTCTCTAATCATTGATAAAATAACTCCCATATATTATAATAATCTGATTCTTCCTTTTCTTGAATTGCAAATGTTAATCTGTTCATTTCTGCACATTCTAATATTTTCTTAATCACTTTTTCATCTGTAGGGATCTCTTCGCTTTTCCAATTTTGTGCAAATACAATTCTAGCTGCGGTTATTACATGAATAATCAAATATACAGTTTCTTTACTATAAATTCCCGGTAAAATCCCCAACAGGAACACTTCCGGTTTTAAATCAATATGTTGTTGCGTCATCTTCTCTATCCACATACAAATTTTTGCCCAGTATCTTTTTGCTTCCCCACATGTCCACCACATATTGATAATACGATCCCGGTGTCTGTTGACATTTCCAACATTTAGTTGATTTATCTTTAAACATTTTAGTCAGTCTTTCTCGAGCTAAGTGCCATCTGTAAAACATCTTATATAGGTTTTCCTTGTATGCAGTTGACAATGTTAATTTGTAATTCCTATCCCATAGTTGCTGCCATTTATCTAGCTCTATCGTGTGACCAAAATTTTTTCACCAATGCTATCATTGTTTCTTTGACTTGTTCTTCTAATTTAACCCTCAATAAGTAACTGTACAATTTTTTTTATCATTCTCTCTTCTATTCCTGTCAATATCTTATCCAATTCTGTCAGTTCCATATAAAAACCATAAAGTTTAGCATCCTTTTCATATCTACATTGTATTTGCAACTGTTTGTACCAATCCATATCTATCCCCTGCTATCCAATTCACATTTCATTTTAGGTTCCCCCTTTTCTGACAAAATATCTTTGTATCTAGCAATATTAATAATATTTGAATGTATAAGTGCTTTCATCGTCGGAAGCCAGACTGGTATCTTCAAGTAGTGTTGCTCTCTAATTTTTTCTCATACTAATAACAAAGCATTTCTTATATAATGTATTATAAAAATAGATAATAAAGAAGAGAAATGTTAGTTTTGTTATTTTATCAGTATTATTATTAACTAGTATTAATATAAAAAATAATGTAAGAAATGAATACGGTGGTAAGTTTAATTGTTAAAACACAAAGAATTTTATACTCAGATGACACACTGTCTAACATAAGATGGAATGTTTGTATTAAAAGGAAATTTAAAAAATTATTTTAAAAATGTTCAATTTTAACTTTAATTTAATTTAATTAAATAAAACTATCATTTCCATTTCTTATTTGTCTGCATTAACAAAACTATCATCCAGATAATGGAAGCAGAAATAAGATATCCAATTTTCTAAAAGAATAGTTGTTAATGCTTTTCAGTGGGGATAAATAATGCAGTAAATGTATACAATTATACCTTGCACTTATTCTTTAGTTATTTTTTTAAAAGGAAATCTTTGTTTCAAAATTGCAGCATTCAATGCTATAATCAGATGTAATTTCAGGATTAGGCAAACATTTCTTACATTTAAACATGTCAACATTGTGAAACGATGTAGTTCAGTTTAGCAAGAGATTAGTCAGAAATACCAGTACTTCTGAAGTTTCACAGGATAGCAGTTGTATTGTTTCTAGTATCAGATAGACCTTTGCAGTAAAACACGTTTTTTTCCTGTATAGATCCGACATGAAAAAAAATATTTTTTGTCCAGATATTTACATGACATTTCTGCTAACCAACAAATAAATATCAACAAATGCACATTTTTTTTAACTTAAATCTTGGCAGAACTACTTTCATTTGTATGTTTTGTAATTTAATAGGTATGCAGTTCATTTTCCCAAATAAAAGTTTTGTAAAAGCAATAGCTAAGACATACATTGTAAAAACAATATGTGGGCTGGTTAAAAATTACTCAAAAGTTAAAACAACTATTTAAAAATATCAGGAAGTCCAGAAAAGGATAATATTTCAAAGAACCAGGGCAATTATATTCCACTTTCATGAGGACTTTAATGGCATATATCTAGCTAAATGTTGTATAAATTATAGAGTTTCTGTTTTATTTGGGCAATTACCAGAACTGAGGTAATGAATTTCATAGGTAGGAGGTAGATGCAATCTCAAATTGATGTTTGGGGAGATAATCAAAGATAGTATTAAGAAAGGAAAGTCAAGAAAAGAAGAAGCAGGTCACACAAAAACAAAAACTTTTAAACCAAACAACAGTGCAATGCCAGTTATTTAAGAGATGATTGAATATACGAAAAGCGAGTTGAGGCGAAGTATTGGTTTATATTATCCTGAGGAGAGTGACAGACTTCTGCAGTGCTGTACTTTTGGGATGTGAAAAGGGCCTTAAACTGAAATGATTGGAACTATCTTTTTTTTTTTTTGGACTCTTTGATAAATATACTACGTTTATGCTGAGCTACAAGGCGAGAGAGTTATGGAATTGGGGCACGCAGATGATCTGGCTGTTACCCTATTATGGTGGTTGGAATTAATAATTTGGATAAAAGACACCTCTATAGACACTATATGGAATATAAATATAAAGTCACCCGGGTGGTTGTTGTTGTTTTTTTTTTTTTTAATGAAGATATTTGCTATTGATGGGGGCAGATGGTAATTGAAGATACCGAACATACTGTTGGAATTAGGATGTGATGTTACCCTGACATGGGTGATGGAGTTTACAATCCAGCTGAAAGACATTACAGAAGATATATGGATTACAAGCTTAAAGTCTTTTTTAAGAGGATTTTATTTACATAAGGGAATATTTTTTAGTGGTGTGGGCAGAAGAATAAAGATATTATGAATTATAAAGTATGGTAGTCTTGTAGAAAAGTGGGTGGAGACAGGTTAGTTTATTGATTGTTTAGTTTAAGAAAAGGATATTATGTTTAGATATGAATATATGTAAAAGATTTGAGTTAAGAGATATAACGATGGGGGTGAAGGAAATGGGTAGACTATGAATTGAATAAATGTTAAATTAGGATTTATTATATAGTTTTATAGCGGAAGGTTGCTTTGAAATGTTATTTTAATATACATAAAAGATTTGATTTAAGAGATATATGTATGGGAGGGTAGAAAAATGGTAGATTATGAGTAGAAATCGCTAAACTGGGAGATATAATAATATTATTATGCTAAATTAGGAGTTATTATATAATGTTATAGTAGAATGTCATTTTGAAATGTATAGTATAAGGGGGATATGATAATATTATTAGAAAGAAAGGGTCAGTATATGGGGATGGAGTAAGGGGATGGTAAAGTATTATATAATCTGTTATGAATTTGGGTTTTATTATGAAGAAGCCACAGGGGGAAGGGAGGGGGAGGGGGGGTTAGGGAGGAGGGGGGAAAAAAGGGGGGAAAATTTGTATTTGAAAAACTTTTTCAATAAAAAAAAGAAAAGAAAAAAAAACCTCACCACAGACTATTAAATAAATATGTTCTCATGACATATAGGGAAGATTATGTCTGTGGGTAAACATTTAGCATCATTTGTGGGTAGTTTTGATGCATGCTTTCTCTCACAGAGTAGATCATAAAAAATAATATTTTTAAATCATGAATTCAAGTGTTATTTGATCTCAAAAACAGTAAAATTAAGAAACTTATTGAAAATATATAAGAAAAAGAAACATTGCCTTCCAACCTAGCATTTAGAGAAAAGATCATGATTTAGATAACAAAAAGTTTCTCACCTCCTTGTGATCAAAACATTAGTTGTTACATATACTTGTTGTATATATAAAATATTCATTTAGATGACAGGTAGTCCTTGACTTAGAATAGTAGGTTTAGTGACCTTTCAAAGTTACAACATTGAAAAAAGTGACTTATGGCTATTTTTCACTCTTATGACTGTTGCAGCATCCCCATGGTCCTGTGATCAAAATTCAGACACTTGACAACTGATTCATATTTATCATGGTTGTAGTGCTCTGGAGTCATTTGATCACCTTTTGTGACCTTCTGACAAGCCAAGTCAATGGGGAAGCCAGATTCACTTAACAATCGTGTTACTAACTTGTGATTCATTTAAGAAATGGGCTCCTGCCCTCTGGAACGAATTGCCCCCCGAGATGTGGAGGATTCCCGACTTACGCACCTTTTGCCAGGCCCTCAAGACGCTTTTATTCCAACAAGCCAGGCTGGCCTAATTTTTTAATTTTTTAACCTTTAATTCTTAATTTTTAAATGTCTAAAACGGGTAGTTTTATTTTAATTAGATATGGGCCAAATTATTTAATATTTCTTAAATTGTTTTTTAAATTTTATATCTGTGTGTTTTATTTTGGCTGTACACCGCCCTGAGTCCTTCTGGGAGAAGGGCGGTATATAAATTAAATAAATAAATAAATAAAATACAACAGACAGGGCCATAAATGAGCAAGCCACTTTGAGGTGTAGGCCAATTTGTAAAGCTAGCTGTTCATTTCAATTGAAGAGAATATGCGTAGATCAGATCGAACTATACTATGGGGTCCTTGGTGCTCTCTGGCTGCTTGTTTGCTTTGATCTTATTACCCACTAGGTAACGTCATCAGTATTAGTAAATTCGGGATTTGCTCCCTGTTTATATACAGCAACTTGTCCTACCAGTGTTGGTGGAGGATTGGTTTTCTCCCTGGTATTTCCTTGATTTAGGGGTATTATTTTCTGCTTTGTTCTTTGTCTGGTGTTAATCCGTGCTTATGTAGGTGTAGTTTGGTATAAAGGATGTGTTCTGGTCTTTTTGTTTTCTTACGTTTTAATCATAAGCTTTGAATGGTGTGTTAAATGTGGTCTCTATATACCTGTTGATGATATGTCTGAAAGCTAAGCTTCCAGGAATTCTATAGCATTTTTGGATTTAGCTCGTTCTAGGTCCCTTCCAACTCTGTTATTCTGAAGGATGCTCAGTTTGCCACTTGAAATATGGTGAAATCTGTATATATGTTGTGAAATTAAAGTGTTTTCATTTTGTCTTCTGTCTGCTGATTGGTGTTCATGGATGCCCTATGCTAGTTTTCTGCATGTCTGTGGCTGTTATAGTTTTTATACTATGTTGTAGATGACTCTTCTTTTTAATTCTACTTTTTAAAAATTTTCTTTTACAGAGTTTTAGTTGGTTTGTGCACTACGGTGATACTATGTGGTTGTAATGTTGATAGTTTATGAGATGTTTTTGATGTATGGTAGTTTTATCCTTTGCATAGTTTGTGTTGGTTGTAATAGAATAGAATAGAATAGAATAGAATAGAATAGAATAGAATAGAATTTTTATTGGCCAGGTGTGATTGGACACACAAGGAATTTGTCTTGGTGCATATGCTCTCAGAGTACTTAAAAGAAAAGATACGTTCATCAAGAATCATAAGGTACAACACTTAATGATAGTCATAGGGTACAAATAAGCAATCAGGAAACAATATCAATATAAATCATAAGGATACAAGCAACAAAGTTACAGTCATAAGTGGAAAGAGATGGATAATGGGAATGATGAGAAGATTAATAGTAATGCAGACTTAGTAAATAGTTTGACAGTGTTGAGGGAATTATTTGTTTAGCAAAGTTGCTAAACTCTGTTAGAGTTGGTTGTGGTGTGATGGTTTGAGTGTTCAGGCACTTTTTGATAAAGTTGCATAAGTATCACTTTTGTTGGAAGAGGTTGTGTAGGCAATCTGTTTCCTCTTTTTGGTATTCTGGGTTCTGGTGTGTTTGTACTATTTGAATAATCTTCCACAGCTCCTCGAGTTGGTCCTTTGGTAATGGAAAAAAGGAAAACACCACAGTCCCACCAATACCAGCAGCACAAGCTACTGTATATAAAGAGGGAGAAATATCACTCACTAGGATTGATTTTGTTACCTACTTGGGTAATGAAATGTCTGCAAGCTAACTACAATCTCAGTGCTAAGAATTGCATTGCTGTTTATTTGCATAAAAACACTTTCAGGCGCACCAAAGTTCACATAACAATCAAAGGGGTTGCAGTCTCTCTCCTTCTATAAGGCAGGAGAATGAAAGGTAGTTTTACTACCTATGACTTATCTTGATAATAAAGGCAACTCTTCCTTTTCCTGATAAAGTTGTGCCATTAAAGGTAATTACTTTTATCTGTATATCACTGAAGATGTTACCTAACAAACATTTGGTAACGAAATGTTTGGAAACCAACCCACAAACCCATAGAATGAACCTCCACCCTCATCCTACACCTGAGCTACAAATATTCACTACTATTGCAAATCCAGGTAGATGACACAGTGTGGGCTTCCCTCAGCGATTGCCTCACTAGAATTTTTGTTGGATATGCTACCACAACTTAACTAAGTTTGAACAAGCTTAGTCTTTTATCCTGATTTTCCTGCTCCCCTCCCCTACTTATTTCTCCTATTTTTCAGGTCTGTTATCTGCTCATATCACTGATGATGTGGAAATTGGGAGTCCATTATCTTTTTTTTTTAAGTTTTTTATTTTGAAAACATTAAAAACAAGACACAAACACACAACATTTATATACATATCACTTTTCCCTATAGCTACTTCGAAGTGATCCTTTCTTACTATTTACATCTATTCACATTGGCATAAAATTAATTTGGGGAGTCCATTATCAATCAGACTTTTTAAAGGCCTTTCATGAATACCACCACAAGGACTTGTAACTTTCATATTCTGACTAACTAGATAATCTATCCATTTCACCTGCATTCTTTTATTATTCTGTAACTTGTACTTTGCCTGGGTCTTCAGGAACATTACCAGTTCGGACTGCTGGATCTGACCTTTTGGGGTATTTTATGAAGAAATACACAGGGTATTTTTTTTTTAAAAAAAAATTGCTTAAACTTTGTGTTCCTATGTACTCCGATGTTGTAAAATAGGAATTACTTAGTTTTCTCTTGTCTCAAAACATCTCATCTTTTAGAAATTTCTGCCGTATAATTCCTATACTTCAGAATCATTTCCCCTTTGAATAGTATTCAGAGTGATCTTATAAGGTTTAAAACGGCTCTTAAAAAGTTTATTTTTCATGTTCTTGATAAATTTGAAAGACCTTTTCAGTAGCAATACTTGTAGGACTTAAATTATGGCATAGGTTGGATTAAAACTTTAAATTATTGAATAATTTTATTGTTCAATATTGGTTTATACTGTATTGCTAATTTTGTGTTTATACTATATTAAAATAAAGAAATAAATGAAATTATTCAACATAATTATGATACTATCAGTTCTTGTATATGACTGGCTAGGCTTCTCCACTGTTTCCTAGGACCGGAGACAATGACTAATCTCCAGGAAATCATCACTGGATACAGGTAATAATGAGCTTACTAATTATAAATACACACTTAAGTATAATGAAGCAGTTACTTTAGATTGGGATGTGTAAGGGGTGATGAACTGAAGTAAATACCTCATGTCATGATGTCATGTTAAACTGCAGCCCAGAGCAACATCACTCTATATATGGCAGCTATGCATGCTGTGATTGTGACTGTGGTATCTTTGTGTACTGGGATTTCTGTGGTACCTCATAATTCATTACTTTGAGAGGCTTTCACAATGATATTATTAAATAGGGAGCTGAATCTAGGAAAATGGTTATATATATAAAGGATAACTGAGCCTTTGAAATATTTTGGATCCAAGCACTACTCAGGTGCTCATAAACTACTAAATACCCAGAATTGATAGTTATTATTATTTTTATTTATTTATTTATTTATTTATTTATTTATTTATTTATTTATTTATTTATTTATTTATTTATTTATTTATTTATTTAATTTGTATACTGCCCTTCTCCCAGAAGGGACTCAGGGCGGTGAACAGCCAAAATTAAAAAACATACATATGCAAAAGTTAAGATAATTAAAAGAATTAAATCATTGGCTACCCAAATTTAAAACCCCAAATCCATAAAATTTAAAATCCCAATTAAAAAACCATTTAGGCTAGGCCGGCTTGATGAAATAAAAACGTCTTCAGGGCTTTACGGAAGGTCCGGAGGTCCGGGATCAATCGTATTCCAGGAGGCAGCTCATTCCACAGGGCGGGTGCCCCCACAGAGAAGGCTCGCTTCCTGGGGGCCGCCAGCCGACATTGCCTGACTGACGGCACCCCGAGGAGGCCCTCTCTGTGAGAGCGTATTGGCCGGTGGGAGGTTATCGGTAGCAGCAGGCGGTCTCGCAAATACCCTGGCCCTAAGCCATGGAGCGCTTTAAAGATGAGAACCAACACCTTAAAGCGCACCCGGAAGACCACCGGGAGCCAATGCAGCTCGCGCAGGAGAGGTGTTACGTGGGAGCGCCACCTCGCTCCCATAATCACCCGCGTGGCCGCATTCTGCACCAGCTGGAGCCTCCGGGTGCTCCTCAGGGGGAGCCCCATGTAGAGAGCGTTACAGTAGTCCAGGCGTGACGTAACCAAGGCATGAGTGACTGTGCACAAGGAGTCCCGATCCAGAAAGGGGCGCAACTGGCGTATCAGGCGAACCTGATAAAAAGCCCCCCTGGCCACCGCCGTCATATGCTCTTCTAAAGACAGCCATGTGTCCAGGAGGACGCCCAAGTTGCGAGCCCCCTCTGTGGGGGTCAGTGACTCGCCCCCAATAGCCAGCGATGGCACCAGCTGGCTATACCGGGACGCCGGCATCCACAGCCACTCGGTCTTGGAAGGGTTGAGCCGAAGCCTGTTCCTCCCCATCCAGACCCGCACGGCCTCCAGACACTGGGACATCACTTCGAGGGCATCATTGGGGTGGTCTGGGGTGGAAATGTACAGCTGAGTGTCATCAGCGTACAGATGGCATCGCACCCCAAAACCACGGATGATCTCACCCAGCGGCTTCACATAAATGTTGAACAGGAGCGGCGAGAGGACCGACCCTTGCGGCACCCCGCAAGCAAGGCGCCTCGAGGTCGACCTCTGCCCCCCTGCCAACACAGACTGCGACCGGTCAGAGAGATAGGAGGAGAACCACCGCAACACGGTGCCTCCCACCCCCAGTGCCTCCAGCCGGCGCAGCATGATACCATGGTCGATGGTATCAAAAGCCGCTGAGAGGTCTAACAGGACCAGAACAGAGGAACAACCCCTGTCCCGCGCCCTCCAGAGATCATTACTGCTAAGTGCTCTTCATGTTTTCTTGTGAATCTTATCTCAGAAGTAGCATTAGAAAAGGAAGATGGCTTACCCCCTTTTGATGTTTCAGTTGCCATCAGCAATGAGAAGATAGCAAGCAATTTTCTGCTTTCCAACTAGACGTTAGAACAAAGTTGAATGGTTTCCCAAGAGTTCTGGATTGCAGAAAGTGTAGCCTACAACCATGAATACCTCACTCATAGGGTAAAACATACACAAACAACTTATAAACTGAAGGTCAATTATGATCAATGTAGGCTTTCTTCTCATCCTTTGCCTTTATAGACCCGTGATGGCAAACTATGGCAAGCGTGCCACAGGTGGCACATGGAGCCATATCTGTGGGCAGCTGAGTGTTGTCCTAGCTCCAGCGCGCCAGCTGATTTTTGGGCCTTCCAGGTTGCTGTTTCCAACCTCCAAAGGACCTCTGGGGTGGTGGGGAAGGTGGTTTTTGCCCTTCCCAGGCTCCAAGAAAGCCTCTGTAGCCTCGGGAGGGCGGAAAATGGGCCTACTGGGCCCATCATGCCATCATGTGCCAAAAGAGGTGGGGGCATGGGCGCAGGGAGGCATTGAATTATGGGTCTGGGCACACATGCGCGCTCCCCCCACGCTCCCACTTTTGGTATGCGATGGCAAAAATGTTAGCCATCACTGTTATAGACTATGCAGTCTTCCCAACTGTTTGCCATCACATGCCAAAAGGGAAATGGTGATATACAAGTAAAAGAGATGGCAATGAAATGCACCTTCTCCAACAAAAAATTTCTAAAAAATATTGTTGACACATGAAATTGCTATGCAATCAGCATATTGTTTCAGTGAATCTTATCTGCGTTTTCTTGATTCTAATAGGACAACTTTCCAGAAACAACGATTCATGGCAGCAACAGCTATGAAGAGAATGAAGAATTATATCTACTGGCTTTATTTTCAATACTTGATGATTACCTGCTGCAATGACTTCGAACATTGGGAACAAATAGTGATCCACGTTTTTGTTACTACTACTTTTACCATGCTGGCATACACAGCTTATGTGTTCATTCCTATTCATCTGCACCTGGCGTATCAATTCTTTCTACAATTTTTAATCAAATAGCAAAGGAAGACACTGAACTATACCTATTGCAACCAAGCCTGGATGTTTTTGTATTGTTTTGCTTCATCTGTGTAAATAGAAAATTTAAAAACATTTAATATCTTTCCTTCCTAAATTATTATATCAATTGATACCCTTAGATGTGTTAACTTGGGGGAGTTGCTAAAGGTTTGGATAGTTTTCACAATGTATTTTACTACATTTTTTTTTATTATTATCAGACAATGAAATGAAGTGAAACTAAAAGTGGGTAGAGATATTGAGAGGGAAGATGAGGGAAAATATCAAATATGTATACAAACTGATAAACAAAAAGTAATGGGAAAGTGAGTTTCAGTCTGATATTAAAGATGTAATTTAAGACTTCTGAACTAAAGCCTTCTGAACTTGCTGTAAAATGTGTTTTAAGAGGAATTTTTATCTGGCACTTTGTTTCACTGCTAATATTTAGAGATCTGTTGTTTCTATCTTGGATACCAAATGGCCTGATTTAAATATTAGATGTTCATGTGGTAAATTAGTTCCTGATTTTAATACTGACTGGAACATATGCAAGATGGCAAATTTCAAAAGGCAACCATGAATGTAGCTAAATTAATGTATTAGACTTTCAATAGAGTTTAGCTGAAGTGGATGGCAATGATCTCCATATGGGAGATAACCTTAGGTCATGATTAGTGGTATCATTGTTAAATATCGTTCTCTTCTGTGGTTGACTCCAATCAGTGTTACTAAATATTAGAATGCGCTGAACTTCCCTGCCCATGCTGAGAGAAGTACAGTCAACTGGCCTGAAGGAGAAGGAAGAGCCTTCTATTGATTAGTTTGGCTTGGCGCTATACAGATCTTTTGCCCTGGGCTCCAGGTCATTCTTTGCTATGGTGTTGGTGGCCATATGAAGTCACTGAACAATTTATGGAATGAAGGGCATGAATGGTAAACAGGTGATTTTCTTACTTTATCTTGTAGCCCTGACCACCAATTGAAGGTCTATGGGATGGGGAGTTGCACAATAAAGCAGGAGACAATGAATTTTATGCCAACTTTTTTTCTGTCAGCTGAAAGATATATAGAAAGTATGACAAGTGGGCAGTGGGAAAAGCCCCTAGATTTCTCTATTGTTGCTCTAATTTCTTGATATTATTGTTGCCCAAGCTTGACTTCTTTTCCCATGGATCGAAAAATGTGGGAAAATACTATATAATATTTGAAGATACTTCATCTTAAACCACAGAGGAATATAATCGTGTATACTGTGAACCACCCAGAAGTGGTTTGGAGACAGGCGGTGCCTACATTGAATTAATTTTCAAAGCTGAACATTTTGTTTCTCATATTGCAGTTCTAATGTTCTCCTAATATCATAATAAGGGCACTAGAAAGGAAATGTTAATCTAATTGATGTTTAATCTTTATCAAGAGTTAAATACAGTAGTTAAGAGTACATGTTAGTACTTGAAAGTTTATTTTACCAATGTGCTTGGCTTGTAGCTACTGTGTTTAATTATCCTATGACCCTTGAGTAGTACACAACTGATACTACTTGTCTCCTCTGCAACCACACAACAGCAGTTCTAAGAGAATATATATAAACATGTCAAGACTCTGAAACAAATATTGTAATTTCTAAAATCATACCTATACATTGAGCATAATTAGAATGGAATCTCTTAGGACTATACTACTTGAGCAGAAAGGAGGGAGGCTGAAAGTATTTGCATATTTAGAATTACAATATTAGGAAAACTATTTTTTTTAAAAAAATATTGTGGAGAAGCGCTGTGCTTTGAAAGAATTAAAACAGGACCTATCTTAATAGAGGTGTGCTTTTGTATCTTCCTATGTAGCCTGTCTAATGGTGTTGTTCTGCAATAAAATATAATCCCTGACAATAGGAAAAAATTCTGCAGCATCAGAAAAACACACATACATAGACTGATACTAAATGGAAAGCTATCTCACTGCACTAAGTCATTACTTTGAGTTTCTGTTAAATAACTAATAGCCAACTAAATGGAAAAAATAGGAATATATATGTCTTTTCATATGCAACAAAAATCATAACAAGAAGGACATTAAAATACATGTGTGTTTTAATGTGTTTTAAACATTAGGGAAAAATAAAAAAAATGTTGTAAAGTATTACCATTGCTGTTATTAAAATGTGTCACAACTATCACTGCAAAATGTGTCATGGCTATCAGTAGGTGGCTTTTCGGTAGATGAATTTTCTATATTTATGTTTCTATTGTTTACTTTAACCCTCAGGGAGACACAAAATCAAAGCAAATAAATCCCATTCTATAGTCACTAGAAACCCTGCAGATTTCGCATTTAATCCTGCAATTTTTATAGGAATTGTCTGTTCATTTCAGTCATAACAGAGTAAAATATTTAATTAGCTGTCCTATTAACAAATGTTATGTGTTGCAGATATAACCATACATTATGAGTCATATGTAGGTCTGCCAGCAGCCTGCGGAGATGGCAGCAGAGTCAGACAGTGAGGAGGCTGGGGAGGATCATGGGCCAGTCCTGGAGTCTGGGGAAGGCTCGGACAGTAGGCTGTCTTTGCATAATATATAAGTACAATTTAATGAATCATGTCTCACTGAATTACTGCAATTGTTATTGTTCACACAACGTAACTAAAGCACATATTAGCCTATCACATTTTCATCAAGTGTTTGTGTGAATGTGACAGATAATCCCCATGTAGCAAACACAATTGGGATTGGCAACTCCATTGGCAGATGTTGCAGTCACTAAATATAAAGTGCAATTTTACCTTTCCTTTTTTCGCAAGGCAACAATGCATTCTAATGAACATATAGCTGAGATTAATTATGCTTCAGTGCTAAGAACGTTTTCATGAATACATTATAGACTTTGATGAAAATAAAATGGATCATGCAGCATTGATGCAGAACAAATATATACATCTGATTAAGAGTGTACAAGATATGAGATGAAATTGAAACATAGTATCAACGATGAGCTCAATCTTGACATATTTTAATGAAGAAAGGTAGTTATTACCAAAACAGTGAAAACAGCATTTACAAATTCATTGTAAAAGTAGCAGTGTAATTTCTAAAACTTCTTTGATGTAACATCTGCTCTACATTTAGAGAGAAATATTACTACACTACATTTAGAGTGAAATATTACGGAGATGTAAATAATACAAATATCCAAATAGCATTATATGGATTGAGAAATGCATTTCTTTTACTACAAAAACTCTTTTAGCAATGATACCATTTCTATTTAATTACTCTGAAAAGAGATATTGTATACCAATCTTGTATGAAATCATTTTATGGCGTGTTGTCCTTATTTAGGGGAATTGTTTGTTTTTTTAATCACTGAAAAGCTATTTGATACTCCCTCAACTCAAGGGAGAGATCTTGAAATGCAACAGAAAAAAATTTGTTTGTGTAGACTCCTTCCCCAAACTATGTCACACCTGTAAAATAATTGATTTGGCAAGGACAAAAGTTCTAGATTTCCCCATTCTGCTTTCATAAACACACTTTCTTACATGTCTATGTAAGACCACAACCACTTGTCAAATCTCATTGCATAATTAAATGGTATCTGTAATCATAAATTAGCATTCTAAAAACTGTTCCTGGACATGTATAATCAACTTATGGAAGTAAAAAAAAAAAAAGACTTCTTTGATGTTCTTTAAAGATTAGCTGGAACAGATAATGACATATCAAGAAAGCAGATACAAAAACAGTTAGCATTTTCTATACCATAAAAATATTGTCATCTTAATACAGCATATTTTTAAAAAATGTTTTTATATGGTTTGTGTCTACTTCTAACTTCCATCAATGAGAGTATGTTGCACAAATAAAAAAAAATACAAAGAAAGTACTTCAGACCTGCAATACTGATGCACCTTTTTACCTCATGAACATATTTCTAACCTCAACAGAAGGCTTAAGAATTATGTCCTGTTGGAGAAGTTAAACAGAGTTTACACCAGCCTGACCATTCTTTACCTGTCTGGATTTCAACTGCCATTATTCTGAAAGAACTGAAGGACACAAATATAGTTCTAAATATTTGGAATATTACCTGGTATGCTTAACTGTGGGGTTCATGTATCATACTATCCCCCTAACTCTAACCTAACCATGGTTTACTAATTCACACAGTCCAGTGGTGGGTTCCTACCGGTTTGCACCAAATTGGGCGAACTGGTAGCGGCGGCGGGAGGCTCCGCCCACATCCCCGGACACTTCTGCGCATGTGCAGAAGTGATGTGCGAGTGTGCGCGCACGAGCGAACCAGTAGCGACAGGATTTGGAACCCGCCCCTGATACAGTCCTAAACCATAAATAAATTTTAGAAATTACAATAGCTGGGGAAGAAGAGAAATGACATTTCATGGAGCATGATGTTATAATGCAAATGATATGCATTAAATAAATTATACCATAATTATAATCTATGTCTTTACATTATCTGCATTTCATAATTTTATGACTCATATATTTTGACACTTATGTCATAAAGCATACTAAACTATCAAATCTCATTCAAACTTACTGCAACATGTTGAATCAGGTTTTTTTGTTTACACTCTAAAGAAATTTAAATCATTTTCAAATAATATGAATAATCTTGATTCAAATTGTTTCACTTCCTAATTTGAATTTGAACTTCATTCATTTGCCAGCTGTAAGATATGTATTTAAAGGACCAGTTTATTTGAGATTTGTTAATACCTATCAACACCAACAGCCTCAAGAACAGATATTGAAATTATTAAAATAGTAGGAAATATACCAATTTAGCAAGATCTCCTAACTTATCCCATCAGCATATTGGCACCTTCTCCCCCTGTAGCATCTTCAGATATCTGAAGGTCTTCAAGCATTTCAGTGAGACTGATTTGGGGAATGCTCTCATCATCTATGTCACTCTCTACTGGTATCACTGGATCTACAATATAAAAACATAACATATAGTCTACAAAGAAATTATTACAGGATCAAACACCATGGCTCTCTGCAGGGCATAGAATATTACAATCTTAAAGATTGGTAACGTGTATTTCTACGAGGTTTTATTTTATTTTATAAAATAAAATAAAAATACTGTGCTATCTTTGCATTATCTATCATATAAATGTTTATGAAGAGAACCATAAAATAAACTAACCAATGGTAAATTCTTACAAAGCCTTGTTGCCAAATTTATTATAAAACAAAGGACATTATTTTAGAAATGGATATGTGCATAATGATCTGTGTTTGTAATTTTGACTCTGTGGACACCCATGTCTGGAGAAACCCATGGGAGAAACCCAAGAGCCAATGTATCCTTATTGCTGTTATAATCTATTGAATTAATCCTAGCGTCTGGTGACTGCAGAGACAAGTATTTTTGGCAATATTTTCAGAAGTGGTTTGACAGTTCCTTCTTTCTAGGGCTGAGTGACAGCCCAAAGTCACCCAGCTGGCTTTCATAGTCACCCAGCTGGTTTCATGCCTAAGAGAGATTAGAACTCTCAGTATTCCAGCTTCTAATACAGCCTCTTTAACGACTATGCCAAATTAATTATCTTAATCTTCAGACAGTTTAAAAAATGTTGGCAATCGAATAGAGGTAGGCAAATCACTAATTATCAAACATGTCTTAGCAATAAAGCTAATTTAAGAAAAATATGACCTCTATTCCTCATGAATTGCAGGTTCTATAGATGCAATATTCCCTAACATTGCAGTGTTCAAGAAGAATGAAATTATTTCAGCTGGGAAACTTACTTTTATAAATATTGACATTTTTTCTAATTGTTTCATCTTCTTCTAGATCTTCTAAGAAGTCTTGGTATTGTCTGTAAAAAATATCACATTGGAAATAAAGTCAGCATTTTTCCCCACCCAGAACTATGCATTCTAGATTAATTACATGCACATGCAAATAACATGAAAAAAACCAAATATTTGGCTCAAAGGCATGTTCTATAACTGTTACAAACATATTAAATTCCTGTTCCATATGAACCTATTCTACGTATACAGTGTTCTGAGAAAAATCAGTTTCAAAAATTGGGCAGGAAAACCAAATACAATGTTGGTGATCTTCAGTCTTTAATTTAGTTAGTTACATCCATCAGCTCTTAAACTGGGTTTAATACATGCTAGTTTACACTACACTAAGCCACAATTTGTTTCAACAGTGGCTTTATACTAAGCTACAATTGGCTAATGATAACTGGTGAATTAGGAATGGGTACTTTGCAAAATGTACTGCTGCACATGAAGCTGCATCTGTGTGGCTGTTCTGAAAACTTTTCATAGCTCTCTATGATTATAGGCATAGAAACATTTCCTTTGGTGAAGTAATCAAGTGAACAGGTTACAACACAAGTGTTAAGGTAATGATGATTTAACAGCTGACCAGCTGCTGTAATGCTGTAAACTGATATGATGCAATGAGAATGAGTCAGCAGGGTTATCACTTTAAGAGGCTATGTAAGAGAGGCCCTGTGAGGGCAGTCTCTCTCTCTCCTCATGTTCTATCTCCATTGTAGTTCTCCATGTATTTCTCTCCGTATAGAGTTGAAGATTGATTGATTGCCTGGCTTTGCTTAGAACGTGTATGTATATAGATATGACTTGTAGATAAACCACTGTTTGAAAGACAAAAGCTCTGTGTACTATATTTTGCTCCTGGGTTGTCTCAAACTAGCATTCACACTGTGCACACTCTGAGACAACAAGCAAATAAACAAGACAGCCAGAGAAACCCCTAAACACAGCTGTACCAATCTTCCAAACGATAGAGTTGCTTTAATATGTTTAGGAGTGCTTTGTGTCAATGCTTTGCAAAAGGTTTGCTTCTGCCAATGTGCTTTGCAGGGTGCTCTTTTCAAAAATTTTGCATAGCCTTACCGGCTAGATCAATTTGTTTCTGAGTAAAAATAATTGAGATTGTATAATAAGCTAAACCAAAACCAAGCAACCTAAATTCAACGTGCAAATTCAATCAAAATGGACATCAAGAGATAGTAGAGGTGAATAAGCTCTTTCCTGGCATTTGTGTTTTTGCTGCTCTAACTTTAGTGAAAGAACAGAGCACAATTTAAGATTCCTAGAGTTTCCCATTTTATTTAATTGTAGCTCAAATACATTAACTTCAATTTTTATATTCTTTAAACTTTGTGAGACTTCATTTATAAATGCATATGTCATGTAGATAGTTCTCACACAGATCTTCTGCAAGCAACTTAAACTGGGAGCACAAGTAAGCAGATTAAGCTGGTAAAATAAAAACAAAGCATAAAAAAGGAGATTAAAAGAATTCATAACCTTTCATCATCGGTATCCATGTTATCTCGGTCTCTTTGTAATTCTTTCAGTTTCCAATTTCTGCGACGTTGACGCTTGGTGCGATCGTAACTTTTTTTAATCAAAATCTATGAATGGAGCAGGGGAAAAAAATAAGCCCAGATTAATACTGTCTACAGAAAAATATTGAGATCTCCTGGAAATCCATTTTTATTAAATAGTATATTTGTAAATAATTTCACTAAAACTATTATTAGAACTGCCATTTTGGTTCTTTGCAGTGCAAAATGCAAAACCAATTGTTTATCGAAAGCATTTTTACTTTTCAGATAAAAATAAAAAAATCCTGCTACAGCAGTTTCCAAAGAAAATGATTAAAAGTGACTGCTTATGTTATACCTTCTCTATATACTCCAGCTACTTCACATACAGTGCAGATTATGAGCCAATATTTTGACCAAGAGTAGATGTGACAGGAAGTAGTAAGCTTGTTAAACATATGTCTATACTAGTCCATTCTATACCCTTAATTTGATCCTGGAAAAAAGAAATGACTTAAAGTATAAACAAGAAGACAACGGAGTGTATTAAAAACATTTAAAAAATAAACTAGAAGCGGGAACTTTAAAAATTAGCATTTGGAAATGACTACTCAAGATGTCTGAATCTAAGATTTTTAGGTCATGTATAACCTTGGGGACTCATATGCTCTCTCTTATACAACAAGGATATACTTGAAAGAGAAAGTATTGGCCCAATTTTAATTGTAAATTAAATTAAATTTTAATGTGATTTTTTCATACAAACATGTAAAATTCACAGACACTTCGGGGAGACAGAATGATCATGTTTAAGACGTGGAGAAATAAAAATGGATATAGTGCTTGTTAGAGAACTGGGGCACAAAAGAAAAACAAATATAATTTCTATATCTATCTAAGATAAAATAACATGAAACAAAATTAATTTCTTATGCTATCAAAATATACAAATAGAAAACAAAGGCAAGTCAGAATTCTTGATGTGCATTAAGATGTATTATATATACAATAAATTTTAGAATTCCTAGCCGATATGGGATTCTGTGGACTGTAATCCAATAGATCATATGTTATTTTAATATGATTTTAGTATGTTTGTACGGTTTTTAAATTTAAGTCACCTAGAGACAGTATTGTAGGACATGTGGCTATATAAATGGAACAGAAGAAATCAATTAATTAAATAAGAAGCAAAACAAAACTAAAACTGTCAAATTTGAGAATGGAAGCATATGCCACAATCTATGAATGTTTAATCTATGAGTGTTTTTAACTTTAAGAAATGACTTGTTTAAAGAAAAAAAAAATCAAACCATACCACATCAGGAACATTATGGGGATTCATCTTATTTGCATATTCATCATTCAGATTACAATTAACCAAATCAAAGCTAGAAAACAAAAATATGAAAAACATGTATTAATTATATATTGTTCTATAAATCTTAACAAGTGTTATTTCCATAACTAAGTAATAATTTTAATTAGCAATTTTATGATGTTTCTGTGTCTATATTTTTCTTGACTGTACACCGCCTTGAGTCCTACGGGAGAAAGGCGGTATAGAAATATAATAAATAAATAAATAAATAAGATTACTATAGAGTAGAATGGAGAACATTCACAACAAGATTAAGTACCATTGAATATTTTCATGAAAAATTCAAAATGTGTCATTATGCAAATAACCAGAATAGTAACAAGAGGGGAGACTTGACAGAATCTGTATCTGACAGTTTTCCAAAGCATATAAAAATACCGAAGCCCAATGTCTTTTGATCCAAGACTTTAGAGACCCCATAAAGCTTTCTTTTGCTTTCTTTCTAGAAGCAAATGCAGTTTCTTGCTGCAGCAATATCCCAAAGGAGACATGTTTTAATGTAGGTTGTAGACATTGGAGTCCAAACATGGACTAGCAAAAGGAATCTGGTATAAAAGTGCAAAGATAAAGCACTGTAATTGTTTTCTATTGTTTACCAATGAGCATTCAATCGGGCACGATGGAAAAAACTGACTGAAATCCTTGCATAATTTGGCTGCCCAATAACTTTGTTTTCAACTCTTCTCTCTCCCATTTAATTTTATCGTGTATATCAACCATAACATTGTATGTGTAGAGAAAGATATATATAAAGAATATTACAAACCCCAATACAAGATCTCCAGGATTCAGAAGATGCCCCAAGTGAGTACGACAGAAATACTGATGGTCTGTATTCAATTCTGATGTTTTCTGAACCCAGGCTTCCGCAAGGATATGCTTAGAAATGTCAAAATAAAAGGAGTACATACATGAAAAGTAGCTCATTAACCGAAGCAAAACAATTACAAATTACTTTCTAGCCTAATGATTCAATCTTTCTAAGCTACATTGAGTATTTTCACATGTAGATTTTCAAGCAATGCACATTTGTTCATCACCCATTTAGCAAACGCTGCTGTACACGTGAAATCCACTATATGCTGAGTGTACTTTCACATGTGGCTTTTCAAATAATATAACGAAGTCATTTTGTACAATATATTAGGGATGCTAAATCAGGGGTCTCATTTAGCTTGACGCTGAACTGCAAACTAAAGTAACAAAATAATCACAATGCATATATTATTAACTTGTACATCCCAAAGTAAAGCTTTGTTTGATCGTTAATAAGCCAAGCTGAAGCTGTTCTCCTAGAGAAATCTGTGTTGTGGTATTAACTCATAGGAAGCGAAGCCAAAACTTTTCTTTTAGAACTGGTGGTTCTCTGTGGAAACTTGGAAAATATATGCTTTCTTGGCAGAACCTTGGGAAAAGGAGGGCAAGTGTTTTTTCCTTTATTTAAGAGCGGCGTAGTGGTTAGAATGCAGTACTGCAGACTACTTCTGCTGATCACAGGCTGCCTGCAGTTTGGCAGTTCGGGTCTCACCAGCTCAAGGTTGACTCATCCTTCCATCCTTCCGAGGTCAGTAAAATGAGGACCTAGATCCGTGATGGTGAATGTATGGCACGCGTGCCAGAGGTGTCACGCAGAGCCCTTTCTGCGGGCACACCAGTCGTTGCCTAAGCCCAGCTTCACCACACACGCACCTCTCACTGGCCAGTGGGTCTCTGCCGCACATGCATGGGGGGGGCGGGGTGCATGTGAGGGATGTGCATGCGCAGGGATGGGACACATGCTCCGGGTGCTCCCATTGCAGCTGCAGCCCCCTCCCCCCGTACCCCATTTTGGGCCTGGAAGGCCTCCTGCACCAACCTGGAAAGCAAAATAGGGCATGGGGTGATGCGCACACATGTGCAGGGGAGGGGTGCATGCGCAGGGGGGTGCTCAAATTGCATTTTTGGGTTTGGGCACACATGCATGCATTTGTGTGCGCCCACATGCGCTTTGGGCACTCGGCACCAAAAAGGTTAACCATCACTTACCTAGATTGTTGGGGGCAATATGCTGACCCCGTAAACTGCTTAGAGAGGGCTGTAAAGCACTGTGAAGCGGTGCTATTGCTATTTCAGCACAAATCTAGCTCTACTGCTCCAGGAGTTAGGCAAAAAGGGGCATTTTAGGAGCAGCGGCTGAAGCTTTAGCATATCTTTTTTCCCCTGGCCTTTGGCTTCCTGGGCATTCTGCCCTTCTTTTGGGTGGGTGGGGCTGCTTTATATTATAGTGTGCCCCTGGAGCCTCCTGGCTGTTTGGACCTTCCTGCAGGATAGCTGCTTTTCCCCTGCTGTGGAGGTTTCCTAGCATTCAGCCCTTTCTAGCATTCAGCATGAATGCCCTTCCTAGCATTCAGCATGCTTCCCCATACCCTGAGGCAGTCCTGTGCTTGTTACTTGTGACTCTCTTAATGACCCATGAGTTCATTTAATGACTATAAGAGGAATTGCCAGGATTGTAGTTGTTGAGTGAAGTGATCCTGTAATGTACCACTTAATGACTGCTTCGTTCAACAACCAATTCTGGTCCTAATTGTGGTAATTAAGCAAGGAATACCTGTACTTAAATCTAGAATGTTACTCTTCAGCGTAAACTTGCTTATGTTAGACAAGAACAATTATAGTAATTTACAGCATATGTCTCTTTTTAAGACTAATTGTATCACATTTATTGTCATGACATCATTGAAAATGAAGTGTTTTCATATATTTCTAAAGAAAGCAAAGAAACATATTTTCATAAATGCAAAGATTGTGGTGCAAGTTGTTTTCCTAAATAAAAGTATTCTAATCACACCCCTAAATGATAAAATCCAAAGTTTTTCATAATTTCAATAATCTGAATACCTGATCTGAAATTATTGATGATTAATTGCAAAATATTCCTTATTTTAAAGGATTTACCCTATGACAAATCTTGGATCAAGCCTTTAAAAAAGCAAAAAAGATTATAGGAATAATCCTGAGCATAACTCTGTGGATGAAATTATGATCTTCTTGGTAGTGTTATTCCACCTGCTGAAGTTAATCTAAATTAAGTATGCCCCTGATTAATACTTATTATTTCCTTGTTTGTTTTGTTTTTCTAGTTTTTAATATTTTTACAATTAATGATAGTGGTTTTACTATCCAAAGTCACTTTTGGTGAGATAACTATATAAATTAATTATATAAAAATAAACAATATTTAAATCATTCTGAAGAATCAAGGACTTCATTGGTACTATCATACTTATATGCAATATACCTGCAAAGTGAAACAATGTTAATCAGGAATCAAAATTTACTCAAGCTTCTAGCAGAGAACCAAACAAATATGCTTACCTTATTGGATTTCATGCCTGCACCAGCATTTTGCTTCTGTTCATAGGCCCTACTGATATCCATTACAATAAATTCTTCTAACTGTTTTGGATGAAACAAGCTATTAAAAGGATGGCGCCAATAAGTATTTCCATCTATTTCTGCAACTGAAAGAGCAAAAGAAGAAAATAGGAACCAGATCAGATATTTATGAATCAATTGTCGACATTTCTGGATATACATGCTGATATGGTATTCTGGTTAGTAACCTGATGTTGGTGAAGTAGTTTGTAGGCTTTGAATGGGGAAATAGAATGGACAAATTATGAAGGAATCACAAGCAAGTATTTCTTTTAGTTAACTTCTAATGTCTTGGAAATTCAGACAGCTGGCAACCTAGGACTCTAGCTACTAAGAGAAAATATGAGATCCAAATTGTTCATTCACAGTTTAGTTGTAGATTTGCATATAATACCATGACTGGATGAGTTCATTTCAAGATTTGCCTTTCTGGGTTTTGGGTCCTTTTGATTTCAACGGGAAAACTCTTGTGAAAAATCTTGAATGACACCATGCCTATGATCAGAATCTAATAATCTGTTTTAAAATAGATGTAAGGTGGTATCTAGTTAGCAGGTTTTCATTTATTAAATTACTTAATTATCAATTTACGTTTTTAAACTTTTGAAAAACATGTTTTTCATTTTTTATATTTTCCTTTTAAAAATTTAGTTTCCTTGAATCCGCAATCTTGAAAACAATACTCTCACATGTCAAAGATACACATATTTTCAACTGTAGCTTCAAACCTTAAAAATAGTTCAGTTTTTTTTAAAGGCTTTAGGACTGTATTTAAATGAAGATTCATACCGAGTGTTTATTATTGGTATTTTATGATTAGAGTTTACAGAGAAAATATCAACAAACTTACTTTGAAGAGTACTTGGATCAATGATGTGAATGGCACTGGTTACCCGGATACAGATGCAGATCTGGCTCATGTTACCAAGGCTTTGAGCCAGTTTTGGTGATAAACACACAACATTGTCCTGCAAATGAAGAACAGAAACAAAAAATGGTATTTATTTCAATTTTCTATCTTAAACTGTTTTAATAAATCCTGAAAGACATCTGCAGATCAGAAAACTACACTGATATGTTTCCGAGTATTAAAGAATTATTGAAATAAGGCAAAGAATTAATTAATATCAGCTCATTAATGCTAAATGGAGATTTAAATAGTATTAAAATAGATTTGTTTAGATTAACTTAATCACTGCCTGCTAAGTTGATCATGTATATACGCACACATATAATTTTTAAATTTTATATAGTTGCTGCTACCGACTATATAGTTGGAAGAACATTCAATTGAATTCAACTGCACTTACTTATTAGATTTCATACCAAATACTGTACTGACATTAAGATGTAAGCCAGGAATGAAAAAAAATTATCTGAAGCTGGTAGAACACAGGTTCCATCATCTGACTCCTAGTTAATGTAGTCTGACTAAAATTAAATGGAATCTTGGAAGAGCCACAGATTATCCATCTCTAATAAATGCAAATAATTAATGCTTTTACAGGGATCCCGTATTCAGAGACCATTGGACAGTTAAGTTCTTTTTATCTCATAGTGAATAGTATCCAATATATGCTGCCCAATGTTGCTCAAAGCCACCCAAGGTCACTTGAGAGTGAATTAAGTGACATATAAATGAAATAAATAAATACATGCGCAAGAATAAATATAATTTATTCTAAGGAACATCCCACTCCAGGCAAAAAGTATGTGTAGTTTTTCAGTGCCTAATCCATAAAGACAGAAAATACCTTGCATACTGGAACAATCTCAACAGAGAAAGTGCTTTTGTAATTATATGTATTGCTGTGAATGTCATGAGAAATCAAACGCTGTGATGATTTAATTCTGAAATTAAAAAAAAAAATGACAAACTCAAATCAGAGCAAATAAGGCTGTAGGTATAATTCATTTTTTCAAAAAAAAAACCCCATGGTTTTCTGAACAAATCATGGTGGCCTGGCTTGTAGACAAAGCCCAGCCATAAAGAGCAGTTCCTCATAAGCTTACAACAAACAAATCATATTTTGGATTAGATTTATAGATGAATTAGATTTTACAATAAAAATCTCTCCCTCCCTACCCTGTAAAATAAGGTAAGGCCCATTCACAATTACAAGTCTAAATCTTGGCTGTATTACTTGAATCACTTCTAGTTTGTAAAAGTGAAAATTGAAAGAGGACATTTAAAAAGAATCAACATTCTCCAAAGATATAAACTATCATCTCCACAGTGGTTAATACTTGAACCATTCTGACTGTTAAATATTCATTAAAAAGAAAAACTGCAAGGATCTCATTCTAATAGTAATTTTCGAAGTATAAGCTTTCCCTCTTTCCAAAAGATATAAGAAAAGCTTGAAAGATAAAATGCAAGAACATGTATTGGATTTTGCTTCCATGATATGAAAATATAATTTTATTTATTTTATTAAATTTATATGTTGTGCATGTCACTTGTAAGGTGACTCTCAATGTCTTATCTTGAAAGGAGAAGTCTTCTTCCAATTACATTTTACTGTTATTGTTTGGGAGTTTGTCAGATCTGGTGTTTCACTCTATTTCACTCTATTTCTATTCTCATTATTGGAATTGTAATACGTAGATCTTCAAATAAAGTATCAGGCAAACAAGACTATACTTGAATATGAGTATGTCTGTTATGGGTTGTTAAGGATGTTCTGGACTACATCAGAAAATAAATCATGTGTATGGGCTTCCCCCTCCACAAAAGTTTGACAACTTGGGGTTTGTCTAACTTTTTTCAATATGTGTACAATGCCTTAAACAACTATGCACAATTTAACAACTATGGACAATTTAAAGAACAAAGACTTACCTACAAGGTACAGTACACTGAAGGAAGTCCACCATTTTCTGAGCATGCTGTTTGGAAGCAAAATAGAAATCCAGACCATCTGTAGGTACATAATTGAAATTGAAATGAAGACTTATTTATAAGGGATCTTATTTTCCTGGATTTTTGTGAAAAGCTGTTTTGATATTTTCATAGACTAATGTAAATTGAGTTCTTTATATAAAATTGTTAAGAAAATTTTAATTCTATTCTAAAAATAGTTAGGCAACAATGTAAATTTATTTATTTAACAAACAAACAATAATCCTCAACTGACTTTCCTGTGTGATCCAGTTTCTTTAAAAAGCAAGCATTCTATTCTTGAGTACTAGTAACTCATGTTATTAGTATTGAGATGCCAATCATTCAGACACCAAGAGCTTTACATAAAGAATGTAAAAGCATATTACTTACCATGAATCTCTTTGATCCGAAGAGTGTTCTGGTGAAGCCTGTGCTTTAAAATTAATTGCTCTAAATAATAGAACGTCTTTTTATGTAGAGTCTATAAACAAAACAAAATTTATACATAGATTGTGCTTATATTCCTGCAAAGGGATTAAGGGTATTAAAAAAAAAAAGACCATGAGAGCTATCATTTCACTTGAAATCCGAAACTGTGTGCCCATACAAATTATAAAGGCAGGAATAAATATATAGACCAAAATAAATAAATAATAAATAAAGATCAAGGGTTCGGGCAGCAGACCCGCGATCCCCTTCCTGATTCCAAACATGGGGTGTGTGCAGAGACCCCAAAAAAGTGCACCGTGTTTCAGGCGGCAGGTCTGGCCAGGAGGAAAGAGAAGAGTCTGCTGAGAAGGAGGAGGGGGGCACGCGGCTCTGCAATGTGCAGAAAAACACTTTTAGGCGTCAGCGCTACAATCTCTTCCCTGAATCCAAAGCACTTCCCAGTTCCCCCCTGCACATTGCAGGGGAACTGGCTGCTACCTGAAGCGCGACTCTTGATGTTTGCATTTTGGAATCCGGGCAGCGATGGCTGGAAAGGAGGAACGTTTCCCTTTAGGGGCTCCCATTCAGCTCGGCTTGGCTCCTGGGCGCAGAGAGGGTTAGGCAGCGGCGGCTCCTCACATTGCTGGAGAGTGAAGTCAGCGCGGCCAGAGGGGTGACCAGCCGCAAATCATGGCACCCGCCTTGTTCCCCAAAGCTGCTGGGCAGATTCTCCCCCCCCACTGTCCCGAAGAGGGAGGGTTGTTCGTCAGGCTGTGCCCCGACCCAGATCCCTGCCACCTGGAAATGGCCGAAGGGTGGGGGCCGGCGGGTGGGCGGGGCTACATTTGGCGTATAAGACGCACCCAGATTTTCACCCCCTTTTGGGGGGTGAAAAGGTGCGTCTTATACACCGAAAAATACGGTACATTTCTACACATCAGATGAAATCCTAGCAGATGAACTATGTCTTCAGCATTCACTATTAGTGATATATATGCACATATACACACCTTTTGCCTAACTTGAACCACTGCTTTCCAGAAGTCCTTAGCTTCAACTCGATGGCAGTCTTCACACATTTGTGACTGAACAATATACTCTACTACAAAGATTTGCTGAAGAATTGCACCATTCATTACCTAGGTGAGAACAAGTAAGATTTGCCACCTTGAGTCAACTGGCAATTAGGTGATTTTACAAACTCATTGAATAAATAAATCTCTCCCTAATTTTTTTCCTTCTTCAAAACTTATCCAATGTGTAGTTTATGGTTGTCATTTTTTCTTCTGCTAGAAGGCTTTCATAAACGATGAAATATCTGGAAACCATGTACTACAACAAATAATTAAAAATTCATTTACCCTACAGAAAAAACAACTTGAGGGGAAATATCTTCAAATGTTAAACAATCTTCAACTATTATAAGGGGTGTTATATAGAAGACAGAGTGGATTTATTCTCTATTTTACAATCAAGGGAATACTTTTCATAGAGAACAAGACTGGATTAAATTTAGAAGGGAATACTTTCAGTCCAGACATTAGGAGGAATTTATTGATTCAGCATAACACAATGATGAGTTTTCTTTTGCTGAAATTCTTCAACCAACAGATGATTGGTAATCTGTCAGAGATACTATAATGGAACCTCCTGTCAACCCTGAAGCTGACCTGACCGAGGTCATTTTGGAGCCCCAGTGTGGCAATAGCCTGCATTAAGTAGGGACTGGGAAAGATGACAATACTATGAATGGACATATTCCCAGGCCCTTCCCCTAAATACTACTACTGATAGGAACTAGGAAGTGTGTCTTTTCCATCTAAGCTCCTACCCTTCTGTCTCCTAAAGTTTGGCAAACCTGAGATAAGATTGGATAATTGCACATTAGAAGGTTGACTTGGTGCCAGCTTGGTTTTAATCTGCTTTAATATATATGTAATATTATACATTGTCTTAACTTTTGATTGACAGCTCCCCAGAGTTGGTTAGATAATGGACAGCGATATAAATATTTTAATTAAATAAATGAGTAAAAAAAATAATCAAACAATCTATGATAAAAGATAATATCTTTAGTGATGTACAGTCATGGCCGTAAATGTTGGCACCCCTGAAATTTTTCCAGAAAATGAAGTATTTCTCACAGAAAAGTATTGCAGTAACACATGTTTTGCTATACACATGTTTATTCCCTTTGTGTGTATTGGAACAAAACCAAAAAAGGGAGGAAAAAAAGCAAATTGGACATAATGTCACACAAAACTCCAAAAATGAGCTGGACAAAATCACTGGCACCTTTTCAAAATTGTGGATAAATAAGATTGTTTCAAGCATGTGATGCTCCTTTAAACTCACCTGGGGCAAGTAACATGTGTGGGCAATATAAAACTCACACCTGAAAGCAGATAAAAAGGAGAGAAGTTCACTTAGTCTTTGCATTGTGTGTCTGTGTATGCCACACTAAGCATGGACAACAGAAAGAGAACTGTCTGAGGATTTGAGAACCAAAATTGTGGAAAAATATCATCAATCTCAAGGTTACAAGTCCATCTCCAGAGATCTAGATTTGCCTTTGTCCACAGTGCGCAACATTATCAAGAAGTTTGCAACCCATGGCACTGTAGCTAATCTCCCTGGGCATGGACGGAAGACAAAAATTGATGAAAGGTGCCAACGCAGGATAGTCTGGATGGTTGATAAGATGCCCCAAATAGGTTCCAAAGCAATTCAAGCTGTCCTGCAGGCTCAGGGAGCATCAGTGTCAGTGCGAACTATCCGTCGACATTTAAATGAAATGAAACGCTATGGCAGGAGACCCAGGAGGACCCCACTGCTGACACAGAGACATAAAAAAGCAACACTACAGTTTGCCAACATGTACTTGAGTAAGCCAAAATCCTTCTGGGCAAATGTCTTGTGGACAGATGAGACCAAGATAGAGCTTTTTGTTAAAGCACATCATTCTCCTTTTTACCGCAAACGGAATGAGGCCTACAAAGAAAAGAACACAGTACCTACAGTGAAATATGGTGGAGGTTCACTGATGTTTTGGGGTTGTTTTGCTGCCTCTGGCACTGGGTGCCTTGAATGTGTGCAAGGCATCATGAAATCTGAGGATTACCAACGGATTTTGGGTCGCACTGTAGAGCCCAGTGTCAGAAAGCTGGGTTTGCGTCGGAGATCTTGGGTCTTCCAGCAGGACAATGACCCCAAACATACGTCAAAAAGCACCCAGAAATGGATGGCAACAAAGTGCTGGAGAGTTCTGAAGTGGCCAGCAATGAGTCCAGATCCCAATCCCATTGAACACCTGTGGAGAGATCTTAAAATTGCTGTTGGGAAGAGACGCCCCTCCAATAAGAGAGACCTGGAGCAGTTTGCAAAGGAAGAGTGGTCCAAAATTCCGGGTGAGAGGTATAAGAAGCTTATTGATGGTTATCGGAAGCGACTGATTTCAGTTATTTATTCCAAAGGGTGTGTAACCAAATATTAAGTAAAGGGTGCCAATGATTTTGTCCAGCCCATTTTTGGAGTTTTGTGTGACATTATGTCCAATTTGCTTTTTTTCCTCCCCTTTTTGGTTTTGTTCCATTACACACAAAGGGAATAACTATGTTTATAGCAAAACATGTGTTACTGCAATACTTTTCTGTGAGAAATACTTCATTTTCTGGAAAAATTTCAGGGGTGCCAATATTTACGGCCATGACTGTATATGCAGATTGAGAATAATTACTCTGTTTGAATTTAAGACTGTGTGGAGGAATCAGAAGATGCTTATGATATGAATCTACTACAAAGAAAGGATTCCTTAATGTTTTATTGGTCTGCATATACTCCAAATCTATACATCTTTCTTGGGAAATGAGATGTTTTGTAATTTATTTGTTTAGAATAACCTTTGTATACTGCCCAATTTCAAAAGACATTGCAAAACTGTAACTACAACCTAAGTCCATCATCTACATAAAAATCTCATGGGAACAATCTAGCTTTCAGAGCTTTGTGAATCACAGACAAGATGGACATTCATTCTACTTCCCAATACGAAGTGTTTTTTCTACTTAAAGTGACCCAGTTCCTACATACTTAAATTGATATGAAATGGGTATCCTGACAAGCCTCCTGAGAATCAATGCACAGTGTGTGCCACTTCTGGTTAGGAGAGACAGTCCATGCACACCAAGCCATGTATGACTTTAAACGTTAAAAACAGTATCTTGGAAGTTATCAGTATACATTGCAGCAATTTCAGTACATACATCACACAATTAAACTTACTTCCCCAATCAGCAGCCAAGCTGCTGCGTCCAGATCCAACTGTACCTCTGAGTTATGTTTAAGGCCAGCCCCTTGGAGACAGCTTTATAACAGTCCAACCACAAAGGTTATGGAATATACTGTACACTCTAAGAAAATACATTTAGTGCACGTAAATCATTAGAAATGTAACAAGTCATGAACAAGAACACCCTCAAATTTCCCTAACTAGCATAACTTGGGTTTCGTATAAAGCATATTAATTCTGTCATTTTGAAAAAAAAAAAAGTTTACTTGCCTCTTTTTGTATAGTCAATTTTACTTTAAGTCTTTTAGAGTGTGGTTCAGTCCATACAAATCCTGCATCAATCAACCGAACCTATTCAGAGGAAACAGCATGATTATCATATGAATGCTCAAAAAGGCAAAACATAACAGAGACGGAAACATATTCACTCAAGTTTAGCTTTTAACTAATGTTACCACGAGTAAAAGTACACATGGTTTCTGTATATAACAAAATAAACTCAGTGCATGTTATAGTAACCTAGTTTAAATCATTTGTTTTCAAGTGTGTTGGTACATAGCGACTAGGAATTCTGGATTTTGGAAGTAGCAAAAAGTTGAAAAAAGGCTGAGAGATACTTCTGGGTACTGAATTTTTGTTCAAGAGTGATAGCAGTATCCAACTTAACTAAAATTCATACAAAAATAAACATATGCATGACTAACCTTACTAAGAGAAGCCTTAATTTTTTTAAGGCATAATGAAAGAAGTTCTCTTGATTCCAAGGCACACTGTAGCCAAGCTGCTGGTGGTTGAAGATATCTAAAATATAAAGAAAGGGGAAAAAATAAATAAACCGAACTCCACTCCCTACCCCCAGCCGTCAGTTTTGATAACACAGGTGCATAACACTTTTTATTAAACATAAAAATATGTTTAATATGTAATGGACATCAGCAGGACTTTTAATATGTAACAATTACTAATTTTATTTAATAATTAAATAAAACATTTTTTATAGCACAATCTTAAAAAGTTCCACTGAATTCACAAAGTTTATTTTATTTTTTAATTACATTATTTGAATCTAAATCCGACCAGTAATACAATCAACAGGCTTTTCTATCAGCAATATATCCCATTACATAAATCTTTGTATTTAAATTCAGAGCTTAATTTACTCTGGATGAATATGGTGATAATGAGGGTAATGATTTTTATTTATTTGATTTGTTTGCCACCCATCTCGCTTTGAGGTAGACGCTTTGAGGTGATTTATCATCATACAATATTTCTACTTGGCTTGAGGAAGCAAGGCAAAGCCAGGCAATTGAGAAATGCAAATGTCAAAACACAAAAATTCCAGACATAAATTAAAGCTAGTTGTATAAAAAACAGAGTGGTCCATTCCAGCACTGTATGTCCATTTCAGGAAATATATCTTCTTCAGCAGAAATAACCTGTGATGTTTTGAAAGCAGTTTCTAATTAAAACCAATACCTATATTGACTAACAAATAGAAGCCTGCTGAGACTTCTGCTGCCCTTTTAAAGATCAAAATGTGCCTAGTATAAGTACACATGCGTTTGTAATTGATGTATGCATAAATATATTCTAAGGTTTTGAAAAATATAAATTGTGATTAGAATTCCAAAACGTACAGGTGCTCTTTGCTTTGCAATAGCCTGTTTAATGATTGTTCAAAGTTACAATGGTGCTGAAAAAGTAACTTTACAACTGGTCTTTGCACTTACGACCGTCACAGCATACCTGGGGTCATGTGATTGAAGCTGGGTGCTTCATAACTCGTAGGCATTTACGACCAGTGCAGTATCCCCCAGTCATGTGATTGCAATTTGCGCACTTCAAGCTGGTTTCAACCAAACGAAAGCAGTACAATAGCATGTTATAGTCATGTGCTATCTTGCTTAATGACCAGTTGTGATTCACTTAATAATGGAAATGGAAGTGAAGTTATAAGCCTATTGAGAACAAGTGATGTTTTGCTTAGCGGTGGAATTACAGGTCTCAGTTGTGGTTGCTCAGTGAGGACTACTTGTTTCAGGAAAACTGCTAAACGGTGCCAGGTGTGTTATGATTCAGCAGAAGTGAAATCCAAAACACACTGGCTGTTTCAGGTTTTGGCCAAAAGAAAATCTGTAAGAGTATTATTGGCAATGGTCTTTCCTCTTCTGCATGTCTGATAAATCAATCTGTTCTCCTATTTACTAGCCCATTTCTTTTTTTCAGTTGCTGCCAAATTTGGCTTCAAGCACGGTTATCATTTCAACCAGCCTATTTGCTCCTTTTTCAATATTTCCAATGTCTTCCTCTCTTAACAATCCCTTAGCAACACACACTATTGTTGCTATCCCTGGTTTTTTTTCTGATTCTGAATGAAAATTTCTGACAGAATATGAGATTTAGTCTCTTAATCAGATCAAATATGTTTTACCCTAATAAAGGTGAACTGAAAAAACTAAATTTTCAACGGGAAATTATTATTGTAGTTTGTGTACAATACAGCTACTAACGTAACTGATCTACATAGCACCATCCTTATCAGAAATGTTTTAGAATTTGAGCTAACAGTAAACACTTCAGTAAAAAAAATACTGCTATTTCATTTCTTGGTACAAGATTTTTGGTAATTCAGTAAACTTCAAATCTACATTTAATCAGAAGCAAAAGAAAATTAGCTAGTCATTTGCACACAACATTAAACAGACCCTATGATTTTCCAGGTTTGATACATGTACTTGCTGGCAAGTGGAACTAAGTGGGAGTGCTTGAGTAGCATATAATAGATTTACAATTCTAATCTAAATTATTTAAAAAATTGGCCTATCGTAACATCAAAATATAGCTGTTAATTTAAAATCTAGAAAGTAGATGGTACCTTTCACACTGTTTGCAGAAATGAACAGTGACTTGTTTAGGAATCCCCTCAGTGATATCCACTTGAGTTCTTAAACAGTCTACACACATGTTGGCTGGGTTTGGTGGGATTGCAATGCCACATTGGCAACATAAGCTATAACACAAAAAATTATCATTAAAATAAAACACATAATTTCTTTATTAAAAAAAGAAAATAATAAAAAATACGTAACTTTGCTTTCTACATAGTGACAAGAGTGCTACACTACTACCAGTACTATACAATTTTGATTCAGAGATTTAAATACCAGGATGGTTTGACTGAAGCCCCACATCAAATCATATTTCGGAATCAAGACAGAAAGCTCCAACTGAACGTTCATGCTCTTGGCACCAATATAGAGATAACTTGTCACTTCATTTTTTCCTTCAATTTTCCAATCTAGCCTACAGACCTGGAATTCTGTGATTGCCATTGTCTACTATTCAAATCTATTTTGGCACAGGCACTGATTTTTGCACTGCTTAAAAATCATTATAACACCCTGATTTAATAGTCATATAAGCAAGTTTGTCATCTAACAATTTGTTTCAATATGCAATGATAGTCTGATTATAGTGTTTTCTGATAGGCAATCCCCTGCATACATTTAATCCTAGGATTTCATATTTTCTGCATGTTTAGTTTGACTTTTAAAGCCATGTTACTCACATGTTCCCCTGGTGAAGGGGAGTATACTCTTTCATATATTCCATTTCTTCTTCCACATGTGATTCTCAAAAGATACAAACACTGACACCTAGTGGAAGAAAGTCAGACCTTGGTAAATGGAGAATGAAGGCTAAATCTGTCACATTCTAAAATTCTTAAGGTGAGAAGAAATGTGCTTCAATTTCAGTCAAGATATGGAGATTCAATAATTCTATAAAATACCAAGTGTCAAAAGCAAAATGTAAAAGCAATAATTACAGAGCTGGCTTTAGCCACACTATTAGAAACTAAAGAAAGGAACTGAGTTATAGAACCAAATAGAAACAAACTACAATTCAGAATCAGATACCGCTGCTGGGGAAGAGATGTTGGACACTAGTGTGCTTACAGAAATGCCCCATTTTTATTTTTTATTGTTTAAAACGGCAAGTTAGCATTCTGGTAAATCAGTATTTTCTGAATTTTTCATACTCTGCATTATGTCATTATTTGAATAGCAGTATTTTTTTTAAGAACCATTCAAAATTTATCTATAAAATTTCAAACACGTACTCCATTGCAAAATATTTATAAGAAGCAATACAGACGGTCCTTGACTTACAACAGTTTGTTTAGTGACTGTTCAAAATTATAATGGCGCCGACAAAAAGGAGTTATGACTAATTTTTCACACTTCCCGCTGTTGCGGCATCCCCATGGTCACGTGATCAAAATTCAAATTCAACACTGGGCAACTGACTCATGGTGTGGTGTCGGCCCTGGGTGATGTGATGATCCCCTTTTGCAACCTTCTGATAATGCAAAGTCAACCTAAGAGCCACATTTGGTATGCTATTAATTAGGGACTTTTCTTTCTTAGCTCAACGGCAAAGCAGGCGGTAACAATTCTTCTGAATTTCTAGGCTCATTTCTCATATTTTGGGAAAAGAAAACAGATGGGAGGTTTGAATTTTTGAACTACTGTATAAGGAAGGCAGTGTTTCTGGCCATTTTAAGATGGGCGGACTTCAACTCCCAGAATTCCTCAGCTAACAGGCTGGGCTGAGGAATTCTGGGAGTTGAAGTCCGCCACCTTAACATGGCCACGGTTGAGGCATATTGTTCTAAGGCAGAGGTCTTCAAACATGACAGCTTTAAGACTTGTGTACTTCTACTCCCAGAATTCCTCAGCTAACATGCTGGGCTGGAGAATTCTGGGAGTTGAAGTCCACAAGTCTTAAAGCTGCCAAGTTTGGGGACCTCTGCTCTTAAGGCATGAGAATGATCCTCCCCAGGGAGCACTCTTGTTACACTCACCCTTCTCTCTGTCCTCCTGAGCAGATCCTTGGTTCAACTCCGACGCTACCGGGAGCTGGCGAAGGGAAGGGGTTCATATATCAGCCCATCCCACCCACCTCCAACTGCACGTGGCAGTTGAGCTGTCGCGGGGACGCTAGTCAGCGGCCAGTCTGGTACGAGCCCTCTCGCCATCCTCCCTCCCCTCCCCTCCCCTCCCTCCCCTCCCCAACCGCGCGTTCTGTCCCAACCTGCAAAACAACCGGTCACCTTCTCGATCTTATCCTTCCCTGACAAAGGAACGCTTCACCGCTTACGCCAAATCCTTCCAGAAACGAAGCAACTCTCGCGAGAACGCCAGTTACTCCATTCCCCCCCCCACGCTTTCTCAAAAAAGGGAAGTAGAAAGTGAGGTGCCCAGGGAAAAGAAATAATCACTTCCGGTTCCCCCCCCCCGTCAGATCCTTTCTAGGCAGGCAAAACTTTATCACCCCGTACAGACCTCGTGGAGGTCCGTACAGTCCGGAGTGTTTGATTGAGATCCGAAACCGTTTTGTGTGCGGTTTTTTTTTTTTTTTTTTGAGATTACTTTTACTTTTACTTTGAAAGGAAGGCTTGTGAAAACGAAACGCACCAACGGGCCAAAACCGTTACATTAAAAAAAGATGAAACCGTTTCTTCACACAGCTTTTCCTCTTGATGTCAGTCACTTTTGAATAAGTAGCGTTCCTACTAGAAGGCATCCAAGCTCCCTTCCCAGCTCTGTTATTCTATTAACTTATTGCAATATAGTGCAATGTATTGTAGCTGGTTTAACACAATTCATGTTAAATGGCAGCAAATGCAAAGTACCTAATCAAAATAATTGCATTCAGCATAATCTAATAATAACTGATTTGCCATGTTCTGAATCAGACTATGCTAAAACCACAACCCTTTTTTTTTGCATCTTCCAGAATTCTGGAGAGAATTCTGATAGTGAATAGAACAGAACAGAACCGAATATATGAAACAAGACAAACTCCTTGTGTGTCCAATCACACTTGGCCAATAAAAAATTCTATTTCTGTTCTGTTCTGTTCTGTTCTGTTCTGTACTGTACTGTACTGTACTGTACTATACTATACTAATACTATACTATACTATACTATACTATACTATACTATACTATACTATACTATACTATACCATACCATACCATACCATACCATACCATACCATACCATACCTTTTTTACATCTTCCAGAATTCTGGAGAGAATTCTGATAATTTTATTCACATAAACTATGATGTCAGTCTAATTTAAGAAGGACAACCAGGAAAGAGAATGTTCTTAATATTCCATTGCTCAGTGATGGAACATTGCTTTTATTTACAAAGTACTTTGTTCCAAAGGTAAAAAGGAAGAATAAAGGGTTCCAATATTGTTCGCTTAATAAACCTGGGAAAGCAGTTTGTGTCTGAGCCAAAAGAGCTTCATAAGTGATGGAAACCAGAAGGGACAACTCGAAATATTTGTAGAAGTAACTAGCTGTGAGTATGTTTAGTATTGAAAGTAGATAAAAGATAAAAGTATTGAAATAACTGGGGGGAGATTCTGGTTCAAATCTGCCTTCTGTCAGTGCCATTTCTTGTGTGCCGTTTCTTTGGAAAAGAAAAAAAAAAGGAGCTGCTTTAAGAGGACTATAAAGATGAGTAACAAGTCCAGTGACAAACTGAGAAACCAAAATGAGATATAACAGTAATATACAAGAACTTGGAAGCAAATTAAGAAGGATTATCAAGTATAGGAATAAAGTTAAAAGAGTAAAGCTCAGTGAAGCTAGTGAGGAATGCAAAGTAAGAGGGGATTTTGGGGGAAGGGGACATGACATTTTTAAATAAATAGATTGGGAAGTTCATCTGTTGCACATGAATGGTTTGATACTTTATTTGCACCTATTAACTCTCAGAAAAGGGAATGGGGTCTTTTCAAGAAGACTCCATATATCAAGAAAAGTTCAAAACACCATTCAATACTAATAAAGATACACTAAAACCCCATATCACTTTAATTTGTATCCCAGGGCATTCAAATTAACATCTCAGTGACTGTCAAGCATAAGTCACAGTGATGCAACAGCTAAAAAAAGCAGCTTTTAGCTCCTGATAAAAGCATTGCATCCAGATAATGAGAAATAATTGTTCTAATGTACTTTTGGAATAGTGTGTCCAGTTTTGTCTTGAAATTAAAAGAAAGATTCAAGCTGAATATTAGGAAGAATCTTCTGAATTTAAAATCCGTTAAGTATATAAAATAATACTTAAAACAATGGTAGACTCCTCTCTGGAGACTTTCAAATATTTCTAAATGGCCACCTGTTATACATATTTTAATTTCTGCGTTGAGAAAAGGATTGGATTAAATGATTTATATGGTTCTATTTGATTTATTCTGATTTTTAGATGGCCAGAGCAAAGTAAGTAATATAAATGATTCCAGCAGGTGGCAGAGGAAGGTTGTTTGAACAGACAAGCCCCCAGTAATCCTTTAAACTGAACAGAATGTTTTCTCAGCTATTCGTAATGTGGGTTCTTTTTACTTATACATTGCAAAGATGTGTGATTGCCAGTCTTAATCAGGGGTGGGTTCTACTTACCTTTACTACCGGTTCACAATGGGATCGCATGTGTGTGTGTGAGCGAAGCATCGCACGTGCGCCAAGCTTCTGTGCATGCGCAGATCGCCTATGATGACATCCGGGGCAGTGGGCGGAGCCTTCCTCCGGTTTTACTAGCGGTTCTTGTGAACCAGTCTGAACTGGGGGCAACCCATCACTGGTCTTAATTGTATCTGCTCATTCTCACACATGCCATAAATGTCATTCATCACCATCTACAGAATCTTTTGAACTATGCTTCTAGTGCATTACACCAAATAATTTTGAATAACCCAGGAGGGAGTGAATCAATTTCTCTTTTCTATTAGAAGACATCAAGGTGTTTTAAAGGGTTCCTGAACTATGTTGAAAGCATACCATGGAGCAATAGTGATGTGTTACAGTGTGGTGATTTACAGTTAATGGACACTATTGTGAAGAAGAGGCATTGGGGCTGACTTAGGAAGTTCTTTGTCCAAGTCCTGGAGAAATAACGATGCCATTTGGTTGATTTTAGTGTAGAAGGGAATTTCTATGTTTTGCTGGTTATTTGCTGTATTTGTTGCTGGATCATTTATAAAACAAGAAATAATTACTGGAGCCAGAAATCTCCATCTCAGACTGGGTATTTCCATAGAAAATCTAATTGATTTTTCACATTCAAGAATATCAGTATGATGTTGCAAGAGCCAAGCTGGGATCTGATTTATTTTGGTGCTGACCATTTAAAAATCTGTTATCATAGTGTTTCTTTTTGCCTAAAACATTAATCAGTTGGCTATGACAACCTGACCCAGGTTGTTAGTAAAAATGTTTCAGAAGCAATTTGCTGGTGCCAGGTTATTAGAAAATACTATAAAAGACCCAACAGAGTTGCTGTGATTTTACACAACAATGCTTAAGCCATAACCTATCATTCAGAAAATATAATATTTTGCTCTGTATAATACTGAAACTAATGCATGTGGCTTGTTAGCTTTTGATGCATTCTGCTTGCCCAGCCTCAGATCACAGACTTTTCAAGACCATATCCTTAGACTTCTTGGGCTAGAATGAACTCCAGGCAACTGTTTTGGTGGGATTAGGTTAAACCAATCATATCTGGTAGATGTGATGACTTTGTAATGCATCATGTGGTTGCAAGTTAGCATGTCGTATCCATTTAAGGGTAAGAAATTCATTCAACTAACAATAAGCCAAGCAATAGCAATAGCATTTAGACTTAGATACTGCTTCACAGTGTTTTATAGCCCTAAGTGGTTTACAGAATCAGCATACTGTCCCTAATAATCTGGGTCCTCATTTTACCAACTTTGGAAGGATGGAAGACCGAGTCAAGCAAAGGAGAGAGACAGAGGGACAGTATGCAAAAAATCTTTCCTTCATCTATGTCTTGCCACTTGCCTAGTAGTCAAAGGGTGCAAAGAGATGATGCAGTCTCGAACAACTCTGCATTCTTTTTTCAAATGAACAAGGAAGAGAAAAATTGAAATAGGTGGAAAGATACACCTACTGTAGGAGTGTGCCCATTTGCCCATTTTATAGTAAACATACTCCTAGGTTTGCCCATTTTATAGTAAACATACTTTTTTCTCTTCCTTGAAAGATTAGATAAAAATAGATTATAAAAAGAAATGAAAGTTATGCTGCAACCATACAGTAATATGGTTATACTTACAACTTTTTTTTTTTGGTCTTTTAATGACCCCGTAATCCCTTACATCGGGGTGGAGTCAGGGCAGCTGAATGCTCAAGCAGGAAACCCTATAGTATAGGGCCTATACCATTTCAGACAAGTGACTGTCCAGTCTCTTCTTAACAATCTCAGTGTTGAAACACCCACAACTTTTGAAGGCAAGCTGCTCTACTGGTTAATTGTCTTCACTGTTAGGAAGTTTCTCCTTAATTCCAGGTTGATTCTTTCCTTGATTAGTTTCCATTTTTCTTGTCCTTCTTTCTGGTGCTTTGGAAAATAAATTGACCCCTCTTCTTTGTGGTAGTCTCTCAAATACTGGAATACTGCTATCATGTCCTTCTTTTCTCTAGACTAGCCAAACCCAAATCCTGCAACCGTTTTTGTCTTCAGGCCTTTAATTATCTTAGTTGCTCTTCTTTGCACTTTTTCCAAAGTCTCAACATCTTTTTGGTAATGTGGTTATCAAAACTGGGTGCAGTATTCCAGGTTCCATCTTACTAAGGCTTTATAAAGCGGTATTAACATTTCACATGATTTTCGTTCTATGCCTCTATTTATAGAACCAAGGATTGTATAAAGTTGTTTTGGTTGCTGCCACAGACTGCTGACTCATGTTTAAGTGATCGTCTACTAGGACTCCAATGTCCCTCTCACAGTTGCTGTTTTTGATCAAGGTTTTGCCTAACCGATACTTGTACCTTTGATTTTTCCTGCCCAGGTGTAAAACCTAAGAGGGATCAACTCTGTTATTTACTTAGGTTGGGTGATCCTTGAGAACTCTCAGACCATAGGTTGGACTGTGAAGTCAACATCTTTCCCAGGTATCTATTTGGTGAGGTAAAATCCTCATTTTCCTATCCAGTCAGTCTTTGGTCTTCATGCAATTCCCCCAAAATCTGGAAAACTGAAGCATCTGAGATCTTGTCTTGATACGTTTTCATTTTAGGTTTATAGGGATACACTAAACTTACAATTCAGGCAAAGACCGAAATATTCCATTTTAATTCCAGATCACACCGATATGGCCATCCTGGAAGTTATTTGGTAGTTGAAAATGTGCAACTGATGTTCTTCTTCATTCCGAAGAACAGAATATTTTGCAATTCCCAAGAATGTTGCCCCAAAATAATAGGTTTTGCACATAACTATTTATAAGCCAGTTTTCTTTCAAGAATAACTCCCAGCATGACTAACAGATCAGTATTAAAAATAATTCCACATTACTGATACAAAACAAGTAACTCTCTGTAAATGTATAACTAGACAATGTATTAAAATCCATAAAAAAGTCATTCAGCCATTCCCAATGGTATAGTAACAATCACAGGCAAATATCAAAACAGATTCTTATCTTTCAAAGCTACTAATACATTCCATAAATAGAATTAACTTTATGAAATCCCTGAAAACAATAAAACACTAATAAAATAAAATTGCCAATAAAACCATGTATGCTCATAGGAATATAACTGTGATCCTGTCTGGGAGGTGCATGAAGAAAGCTGGGCTACAGATAAGAAAACAATACACAAACTCATTTAAAGATAAATTCAACCTTTATGGTTTTTGCATACATGTTCAGATCTTTTCAGTCTGGGAGAGATACAGCCCTTGCTTTTTAAAGTTCACAATCTAATGCCATCAGCACAAGGGACAAATATTTTATTATATGTAATTGTGCAGATATTTGATGCATACACCTACTTTTACCGCAAGCTTTGTGAATTGCAGGAATACACTGATAATGCAAGCTTGCTCGTTGGCATTTATATTCCATCTATACAAAGTACAACACTGGCATTTTTCAAGAATAAAATATAATCCCCTTTGAATAAAGATGATTTTTCTGCTTTCTAAAAAGAAGCAGTACCGTAGTACTGAATCTTCCATGTACATGCTTTAGAGCCCTTCCAATTATTAGAGTATTACTTTTACTCTATTTGTGTGTACATGCATTTCTCTCAGCTGAACAATAACAGAATAAAAAGCAATTCTTGGTTAGTGTAAAGCAAAATTAATACCAGTTTGCAAAAACATCCAAATAAATATTAGGTGAAAGTCTAAGATTACTTTTTGCAGAAAGCCAAGGCATCTTAAAATGGAAAATGTTAATATTTCAGTTGTTATTCTTTTTCTTGTATCCTTATATCTTATTGCCTCTGTAGAACTAAAAAAAAATTAAGATACTGGAATTCAAGGTATTGCTAATATAACGATTGATGATTGAGAGAGATGGACACAATAGTTCTTCAGTCAGTCCCCAGTGTCAAAATCAATTTCTTATGAGAATTGGCAAAAATGTGTACATCAAAAGAGAATAGGAGAAAACGCTTTATTGAGGACAAAAGATCTATCCACATTTATCTGCAGTTGGTTGTGTGTCTTTTAAAAAATTACTTTTGTCCTTTAAATACAATGAGGCCATCTCTCTAAAACTAAGTTCCCTGTTAAGTTACTTCTTCAGATACTAATTTGTTATGTTGTCATAGGGAACATAGGGGTGGCAGGCGCCATCATAAAATTAAAAGTTATTGAATCTTTTGAAAGCCTTAACATATTTTTCCTTTTATTTCCTTTTATTAAAATGTTCGCAGCTGTGTCCTTCCAACTGAAACATCAACAAAACCCAAATCCTCAACTTACGTAATGTGAATCCAGACAACTGAAAGGTAAAATGCAAGTCGATTGTTTCTTTCAATGGGGAACAGTGTTCAAAGAGCAAATGCTTGATTTGCTCGATTGCAAGTCGGTCACGTGTGAACTCAGTTCATGAAGCTAATTCCAGAGACTGGCTCATGGTTGGACTGAAGTTGTGCAAGCATGCATTCCTGTGAGAACCAGCCTGATGGCATGACTTTTTATTCAAGAGGAGGGGTCATGGGGGGATATGTGCATTTGAACCAACAAGCTCACAATCACATCCAAAAGAAATCTAGGCAGAGCTGAGTATAATAGTATGGAGAAAGAGCATTTCCATAGAAAGCAAAGCCCTTGAGTCAGTGCTGGAGAATCAAAGTGTGTTTTCAGCTTGGCTTCCACAGACTTGGGAAAAAAAATCAAAAGCCAAGCGGACATGGATGGGGATGAAAACGTAGGCAGTATATACCACCATAGCAACAACAGTAATTATGATAGTATCGAACATGGATCGTTCCCAAGGCTCCAGGACGTAACTGCAGGTGACCAGGAGATACTGAAAATGCAGCCAGTGAATGTAATCCTTGATTTTCTTCAGATCCATTGCTGGCTCAAATGACAGGAAACCTAAGAGAAAACAGACAATGTAGAGTCACGGGTCGAAAAAAGAAAACTGATTATCTGGTTATCAGTGTTCTAAAAGAAATATCCTTCACCTAATGTATTGCCAACATATCAGAGCTGCATCCAGGGCCGGATTTTCCTATAGGCTAACTAGGCTTCAGCCTAGGGCCTCAAGATCAAGAGGGGCCTACATTCAAATTGTTAGCAAAATTAAAATTACACTTTCACTATAGGTGAAAGGGCCTCATAAGTGGAATAGTCTAGGGCCTCTTTTCATCTAAATCCGGCCCTGGCTGCATCTTAAATGAACAAGCCCACCATAAATACATCAAGCCAGGAAGCAGATAGAAATCTCTGTCTTGAAATCTCAACTATATTGTACAGCAGCTCTTTTCTATTGTGGAAATGGTTGTGCCATAAAAGAGCATCTGTCCTGGACCATTGCTGGTTTTGAAGCCCAGTGGTGGGTTGCTCCCGGTTCTGTCTGGTTCTTCCGAACCAGTAGGAAAAGTGGTAGGAGGCTCCGCCCACCTGCCCGGACATCATAACGTACCTTCGAGACCGTCTTCTGCCACCAGTAGCCTCCCACCGGCCAGTCTGCTCCCATAGAGAGGGTCTCCTCAGGGTGCCATCGGCCAAACTATGTCGGCTGGCGACACCCAGGGGGAGGGCCTTCTCTGTGGGAGCCCCTGCCCTTTGGAATGAACTTGTCTGTCTTTGTGTTTTTAATTAGGCTGTACACCGCCCTGAGTCCTTCGCGAGAAGGGCGGTATAGAAATAAAATAAATAAATAAATAAATAAATAATGAATGATCTGCGTGCGTGCCCCTGTTGCGAACTGGTAGTAAAGGTAAGTAGAACCCGCCCCTGTTGAAACCCCTATAACCTTTTCCCTCCCAGCAATATTTGGTGAATAAATCACTGGATGCATCCAGAGATACTGAGCCTGAGCCTCTCCTTCCCTCAGTGTTTGCAGGGTGCAAGCTTCTGCTGCAATTTAGGCCAGAGGAAACATAACTGATGTATGGTGTAAAGAGTTGCATCCCTTTAGGACAGTCTCAGGGGACAAGCCACTGCAGGAAGCTATAACAGAATAATAGAGTTGGAAGGGACCTTGGAGGTCTTCTATTCCAAACCTACAGAGGAATTATTGAGTCAGTCATCTGCACCTCTATAATTGTTTGGTTGGTTCTGCAACCCAACAAGACAGACACAGACTTCAGAGGATAAGTAAAACTGCAGAAAAAACAATTACTATCAACCTGCGTTCCATTGAGGACCTGTATACTGCATGAGTCAAAAAGAGGGCTGTGAAAATATTTACAGACCCCTCGCATCCTGGATATAAACTGTTTTAACTCCTACCCTCAAAACGATGCTATAGAGCAGTGTTTCCCAAACTTGGGAACTTTAAGAAGTGTGGACTTCAACTCCCAGAATTCCCCATCCAGCATGGGTTCCCAAGTTTGAAGTTCCCAAGTTTGGGAAACACTGCTATAGAGCACTGCACACCAGAACAACTAGACACAAGAACAGTTTTTCCTGAACGCCATCACTCTGCTAAACAAATAATTCCCTCAACACTGTCAAACTAGTTACTAAGTCTGCATTACTATTAATCTTCTCATCATTCCTATCACCCAGTTCCTCCCGCGTATGACTGTATGACTGTAACCTTGTTGCTGATATCCTTAAGATTTATATTGACTGTTTCCCTATGACTATCATTAAGTATTGTACCTTATGATTCTTGATGAATGTATCTTTTCTTTTATGTACACCGAGAGCGTATCCACTAAGACAAATTCCTTGTGTGTCCAATCACACTTGGCCAATAAAGAATTCTATTCTATTCTATTCTATATAGTGGCACTGCCATAACGGAATATTGTCGGTGCAAGGAACCAGAAACGATACAAGGAGCTGATCAGGGTAGTATGTTTATTGCTACTTGCCTGTAGACAAGAATCTTGCCAGACTAAGTAATCACTATAGAACTACTAGATAAGCAGATTTTAGGAGGATTTCCTTCAGCCTCTTCCTTCCCATCAATGATTCAAGGCTAGCCAGCCTTCCCCTCTTCCCCTCAACTGAGTTCCAGACTCCACCACAAATGCCAAAGACCCACCTGATATTTATGTTATGTATATCATTTATTGTTATCAAGCAAAAACAGTTGTACTTATCCAATTATTTAAAACTATTGTGAAACTGAAAGGGCATTACAATCCCTCTCCCTGTTTCACTACCTCACTTCTAACATCCCTCAAAAATATTTTTCTGGAAGCAACACATAAGGGAAAACCTGAAAAACATGAAAAACCTTCTTCCATCAGAGACTGGTTTTTCCAGCTCATTTGATACTTAGCTTATCTAAGATTGGTTCAGTCTGTAGAGATAAAATCAGAGGACTTGTTCCCAATGAGAAAATAATGTTACTTACAGAAAAGCAATACCTTAAATGTAGAAAACCTACTTTGTTTGCAGATATTCTCAATTTTAGCATCCCCAGCTACATCTCTGAAATATTCCTGCTAGTCAGTATGAACCAAATTGTTACATGGAACAACAATCTGGCTGTATATGTGCATTTTTCTATTTATACTTTTTCAATATTATGAGTATCCATAGAGCAGACTGTAAAAGAAAAACTTCATTAGAACTGATTATTCGATAATGGTCCAAAATGAATGTCAAATTTAGATAACCTTTGGTGAAAATGTAGATGTAACTCAAAAGAAATGATTCTAATACTCTCAAGCAGCATGTATGTTTAAAATCCAAACCAACATCAATTATTTCTTATGGATGGAACATTGTAATAGTAAAGCTACCACCTAATTAACATTATCTTAAGATGCTCTCTATGTACATTGTCTGGTTGTAAGATCAGTACAACCAGACAATGTACATAGACAGAATTATGTCCAACATAATTCTTTCTGAATATATATTATTGAATTTCTATACTGCCTTTCTTTCAAAAAGAAAGTGGACAGTTCTTTTTCCATCCTGTGTCTTTACTTGCTTAATACTCTTCCAGTTAATATTCTGAGCGGTTCTCTTAGAACCGCTTCCCTTGGAAGGCAGGGTGGAGGATTTCGGACAATACCTGTATGACAAAATCGCTCAGATCCGGGGGGATTTGGACTCTGACTGGGTAGATCAGGGCAGGGTGACGAGGAATAGTCTTGAGAATGTTACCTGGGAGGAGTTTGATGCTGTGACTCCCGATGATGTGGACAGGATTTTGGGGAGACTTAGTGCGGTCACATGTTTACTGGACCCGTGTCCCTCCTGGTTGGTACTGGCCTCCCGGGAGGTTACACGAGGCTGGCTCCAGGGTGTTATCAACGCTTCGTTGAGTGAGGGTCACTTCCCCGCCGCCTTGAAAGAAGCGGTGGTGAGGCCTCTCCTCAAGAAGCCGTCCCTGGATCCGGCAATATTGGCCAACTATCGTCCTGTCTCCAACCTTCGCTTCCTGGCGAAGGTTGTTGAGAGTGTGGTTGTGCGACAGTTTCCACAATTCTTGGAGGAAACATCCTATCTAGATCCGTTCCAGTTGGGTTTCAGGCCTGGACACAGCACAGAAACGGCATTGGTCGCGTTGGTTGATGATCTCTGGAGGACTCGGGACAGAGGTTGCTCCTCTATCCTGGTCCTGTTAGACCTCTCAGCGGCTTTTGATACCATCGACCATGGTATCATGCTGCACCGGTTGGAAGAGTTGGGGATAGGGGGCACCGTATTACGGTGGTTCTCCTCCTTTCTCTCCGACTGGTCGCAGTTCGTGTTGGCAGGGGGGCAGAGGTCGACCTCAAGGCTTCTTATATGTGGAGTGCCTCAGGGGTCGGTCCTCTCGCCCCTCCTGTTCAACATTTATGTGAAGCCGCTGGGCAAGATCATCCGTGGCTTTGGGGTGAGATACCACCAGTACGCTGATGACCATCCAGCTGTACATCTCCACCCCAGGCCACCCCAACGATGCCCTTGAAGTGATGTCCCAGTGCCTGGAGGCTGTGCAGATCTGGATGGGGAGGAACAGGCTCAGGCTCAACCCTTCCAAGACTGAGTGGCTGTGGCTCCCGGCATCCCGATATAGTCAGTTGACTCCATCACTGACTATTGGGGGCGAGTCGTTGGCCCCCACAGAGAGGGCTCACAATCTGGGAGTCCTCCTGGATAGGCAGCTGTCCTTGGAGGAACATCTGACGGCTGTAACCAGGGGGACCTTTTGTCAGGTTCGCCTGATCCGGCCCTTTCTTGATCGGGATTCCCTGTGCACAGTCACTCATGCCCTCGTCACCTCTCGCCTTGACTACTGCAACGCTCTCTTCATGGGGCTCCCCTTGAGGAGCACCCGAAGGCTCCAACTGGTCCAGAACGCAGCAGCGCAGGTAGTGACGGGAGCAGCATGGCGCTCCCATGTAACACCGCTCCTGCGTGAGCTGCACTGGCTCCCAGTGGTCTTCCGGGTGCGCTTCAAGGTGTTGGTTATCACCTTTAAAGCGCTCCATGGCATAGGGCCTAGCTATCTTCGAGACCGCCTGCTGCCACCGACGACCTCCCATCGACCCGTGCGCTTCCACAGAGAGGGCCTCCTCGGGGTGCCATCAGCCAAACAGTGCAGGCTGGTGACCCCCAGGGGGAGGGCCTTCTCTGTGGGGGCACCTACCCTCTGGAATCAATTGCCTCCAGAGATCTGGAATCAATTGCCTCCAAGACCTCAGTGCCTTCCGCCATGCCCTTAAAACCTTCCTTTTCCAGCAAGCCGGGCTGGCCTAATTTTTTAAGTGTTTTTAAGTGTTTTGTTTATTGTTTTTAATTAATGGGGCCAAATTTATATATATATATTTTAACTGTATTTTAATATTTGTACTTGATGTTTTTACTTGGCTGTTCACCGCCCTGAGTCCTCAGGGAGAAGGGCGGTATACAAATTCAAAATAAAATAAATAAAATAAAATAAAATAAATTATTTATTAATTCATTTGCAGAGCAAA